TAATATATCCCATTAATTTCTCCCCTGGGGAGGTAAGCCCTTATATCACTGGTGTTTTAGCTCTGAAACATCTTCTCACAAAGCCATTGAGTTGTCTTTGTGTCAAGCCTATATTATAACACACTGAGAAATTGATGACTGCTTCCTTGGGTTGCCATACGTCTGGGAATTCCTGGACATGTCCTCTTGTGGGGGGGGGGTTCATACATGCCTGTCTGGGGGGGATTTTACCTTTTAAAGCAAATGTCCTGGATTTGGGGTTTTTTAAAAAGTGTGCAGGCAGCCCTGGTTCAAGCTCAGGCTCTGGTGTGGGCAACCCATCAACCAAATCTACCCAAACCAGCACATCTAATTTCTGCACATCTGTGCATATAGTTAGATGTGTACTAGTATGTGGAGAGGGAAAACTTAAGTGTAAGCCTTTGTATATCTATGCTCTGAGATCCACCCCACCCCAAAGTGGAAGAGGCAGGTGAATTTTAGATTTCTTTAGCCTTTAAAAAGCACACACAAATTCTCCAATTTATTTCCTGTAATGCCTAGGGAAGGCATTATATTATATATATTAAGCATAAAGAAATAGTTTAAAATAAATGATGTTATGTTCTCTGATGGACATTCCAAGAAGTGAAACCAACAAAGTGAAACCACGGAGTGCTAGAGAATGGTTTGAATATACATAATAAAATACAATACAATAATATATATAAAGTCCCCTCCCACCTTTTCTGTGTGGTTCTCTCTCCCTGCACCCCAGGTGAATGGCTGAACCCCCCTCCAAAAAAAATTATCAGAACTACACTACTTAAGATTCTAAAACAAACGGTAAGAAAAAGCTGGCCTGGGCAATTTGAGATCCATGAAACCAAAGGCAATTTATGAAGTGGATTAATATAGGTTGGATTAGCCTAGTGAACTGCTGTTTGCTTTGGACTTCAAAATCAAACTTCTGTCAAGAAGTTCACAGGCTACACTATCTGACTGGTGGACTGCATTCACCTTTGTGGGTCACTAGGTTTGAGAATTCTTCTAATGCAAGTCTCCACCTTGCACATAAATCTATATGTACAAGTCCCATTCCACACTAAACATCTGATGCGCAGTGCAAAGGGACACTGCAGTCCTTAAGCGCAAGCATGTTCCCATCACCTGCATAATGCATCTGTCTACAAAGAATCCTTTATCTGTCAAACACATGATAAAAAGAATCACATAATTTTAAAGTTGGGAGTGGCCCTGAGGGTCATCTAGTCCAACCACCTGCAATCCAATCTCAGATTTCAGTGAGCTTGTAAAAGTTCTCTCTGTGAGATCAAGCTATTTGTGCCAGATTTAAGAGAGAAAACCATTTTCTCCCATTTCCCAAGCAATCTGCATTTTCCCTGTTTTAAATTATGGAGGAATGTTATTGATGGTTTAATACTGAAAATATTGAAAAACCCTCTTTATTTATATATGCAATAATTCTGGAATTGATTGTGAGAAGCTGGCAGGGAAAATAAACATCCCTAATTACCAGGAGGAAAACACAATCTAATCAGGCAGCCACAATTCTGTTAAGAGCATTTATTCTTGGTTCCCAAGCGCAAAGCTCTGATCTGCTGCACAGCCAACAATATATATTTTTTTATATCAGTCTATCTGATAAGCAGTAGTCCTGCATGTGATAGAGAAGGGTAATATAACACCTTTGGGAAAGGAAAATTAATTTGAGCCATTCTTGTCTATAATTTGTCCTTCCCTGAGCTTCAATACTGTGCTAGGAAGCTTGTGGCAAAAGGAAGCACTCAATCTGTTAACTTTCACCAGCTAATGTCCTTATAGACTTTCAAATAAGGTTAGTAGAGGGAGAGCAAAATAAATACATATCAAAGGCATTTTAAGCAGTGTGTCATTATTTAAACTACCCCTGGAACACAGAAACCAAGCAACTAACATATTAGCTACCAGCGTGTGTGGTGTTTTTTTGGGGGGGGGGTGTTATAAATGGTACATGAGGATTTGAGTCTTTAAATTTAAATTAGTTGAATTAGAACTAAAAAAAGGCTACATTATATATAAAAAAAGAACAATTCCCCCCCCCCACACACTAATCAAAGGAAGTTATTTTTTGCTCTACTTCAGGTTTGTTATTTGAATAAATGACTGATTCCTCCCCTACCCCCCAAAAAAGAAATGTATATTAGGGATAAATCCATGTTCAAACCTGGCATTATAAATACCACTATATTTTTTTTAGATTGATCTTTGGTTAGTTATTCATCTGTGTATCATTCATTATCTCTGTTCCTCAAAACACAAGCACATGGCAGTTCAACTACAGTGCATGTTTAATTTAAGGAAAGAATTTAGGTTATACAAACTGATGTACTTTTGAGTGTAATATGTCTTACAGAAATCAGCACTGTGGCTGAGGCCCTGAGCGACCTCTCTAGGAATGTCCCATTGAACTCAAGTAGTCATGTATAGAGTTGCATTGCGTGTCGAGGTCCCCAAGCCACCCAAATAAAACACAGTTCACACAGAAATTTTTGTTTAAGGTTTTTGGCATAAATTTTGGCCACAACTTTAGTAAAATACAGAAATGTGAGTGGTTGCTTAGGCATTGGTTACGACTATCTGACCCCCATGGGGTCAGTCTGACTATTCGCACGACCACGAAAGTCAGAAAGGGAGAAACATTTTGGGGAGAGCATTTGGAGAAGGGAACCTCCCCTCCCCTCTCCCCAAATGCTCCCAGGGGCTCTTGTGTGGCCCTATACCCTTGTCAGGGTTCGGACAAAAGCACGGTGAGCCCCTGGATTCCTTTAACGGAATACCCTTGCAGAAGCAGCATTAGAGGGGCAGGCACAGCCAATCCATGCCCCTCAACCAACCATTCCAAAAACCAATGCCTAACCGCAACCTTACAAGTTGTGACGATTTGCTACGCAGCAGGCAAAAACCAAATGGCACCAGCCAATCAGCCAAATGGACAAAATTCCTACCAGGCCCCTGCCCCAAGAGCAGGCGACCCCATGACAGGCATAGCAAGGTCAACGTAAACAACCCTAAATCAAGGGAGGGTGGGCGGGAATTCTGATGCACGCAGCGCAAAGAGGAAGCTCAACGCTGTGTGCGGGGGTTATAAAAGCTTCAGGCTGTCAATCACCAATTTGCAACATCCAATTCTCCCCAACGACAAGGGGAGCCCAATCGCAAGATGGCCAACTAATTTTCCGGCCCTGTAACAGTGGGTGTCTTGCCAGCCCCCACAGCAACACGTGCTCTCCATGAAGGAGAACATACTTTGTAAATGCAACGATTGCAACCTCCCTTCAAATTTCATAGATAATGAAAAAAATGAACTTTTAGATTCCCTTTGGATTTCACCAGGGCCAGATTAATACCTTTAGAGACCCCAAGCATTGAAAAGATTTTGGTACCCCCAATTCAAAATATAAAGAATAATAAACTGTATAATAAAATTTTGTTTTTCGAAATGAAATGAAACCTACTGTAAGATGGAAAATAATGTTTATTTTTGTATACTTCCACTTTATTTATACTTGATTTTTTTCTCCTACTGTTTGTAATTGTAAAGTCTTTGATCAGATCCTCAAAACTAATCTTACATCACACACCTGCTTCTATACTTAATAGAGAAAGGCCTTGTTGCATAGTTGTTCCGCTGGGATGTTTAATATACTTTAGCTGAGAAAATGGATACTCAACTGAGCAATATGTGAATATTAATGTTAAAAATATACAAAAGCAAATGTCTACATTTGGGGTGGGGACAAGATGCAAAACAGCTGATTGAAGACTGAGCATGTTCATTGGTTACATAATGCTAGTGAGAGGTGGAGGGAATGGAGTATCCACAAAGACAGCATGTTGAGGTGCAACCCTGAACAATAACACTTCACAATGCAACATTTTGTTGCATATCCCACTTGTAGACTCACCGAAAGCAAAACTTAAGGCCAAAGTGGAAGATCCTATTTGGAGAAAGTATTTAAAGAGATTTAAAATGAAAAAAATGCAACAAAAAGTGTTCAAACATTTAAGGGTTGTTGGACAACTCTAGATCACCACTAAATTTTGGGCAGAGCAAAATTATAATGAATTCATAGGTTCCTGTTCCTGAAACAGAATTTCAAACAGAGTGGGGGGTGTTTGTGTGTGCGTGTGCACGCGTGTGTGTGTGTGCGTGCCATGATATTTTACAAGAGGGTAGTACATAAATATTTTAATGAATAAGTGTGTTGGAAGAGTTTATTTCATCTCCATACTATAAGCAAATGGCACTAGAATTTTGATGGGTTCTTCCTCCACGCCACATGTACACAGTACACAAAGTGATGTTTTGCAAGTAAAAAGTAGGTAGCTGTGGTGTACCTGCAAATTTAATAATTTGAGATGTAGCCCAAAGGTAGGTGACTATTTTCAGATGTCCACACATCACCCACACAGATAGCAGGGAGGAAAAGAAACCACACGATTCTGGTAATAATAGCCTCACAACTGTCACTTAGCTAATGGCTGCCTTAAATGCTACAGTGGCATGTTAGAGCATACTGAAATAGCTTTGTCAGCTGCCTCCATGCTGTTGTCATAAGACGCCATGCTGCCTACCAGGTGTATCATCTCATTTGTGTGACGAGTTTCTATTTCAATGCCAGCCACCCATAAGAATGTCTACATTTGGCCATCCAAACATCAAGATTTGTTACATGTTGTGGCCACCACTTGAAATACATACCAGGCAGAGGTTCTTTCAGCTGTCTTCCATGTGATGACTGCATTTTCTAAAGTAATTACGGTATTTTCAGATGAAATCATCACAAACCAATTGTGATGTAGAGCAGCACTGAATCAACCACAGAGAAAGTCTGTTCATCACATATCAAAAGCTGTCACTGCGTAGAGCTTTTTATAGCACCATTCAGCAAGGTCAGAAATCTGAATTTACACAGGAAGAGACAATGTTGAGACTCCTTTTTTCTCACTACTGGCCACCCCTTCTGGGAACTGAAGCAATGCTGGTGTGAGAGGGAGCCATGGTTGGGACTCTTCCCATGTGACCTGAGAAGTATGGGAATAAGCCACTGTGTAGTGGATCCCATTTGTTAAAGGTAATGTTGAAGGGGCTTGCGGTTGGTTTGAGTTAAATCCAGATCAAATAAAGGAAAATATTAACTCAAGAGTGAATTATGTAACCACAGAACTTACTATGGAGTTTGCCTTCACAATGGTGCAATCAAAAGATTTAGACCAGTGAATCTTCAACATATAACTAAGACTGCAATTAAAACTACACTTATCAGGGAGAAGACATCTGAAGGGAGCCCTGTTTAGGGAAGCTTTTAATGTTTGATGGACTACTGTGTTTTAATACTTTGTTGGAAGCTGCCTAGAGTGGCTGGGGAAACCCAGCCAGATGGGCAGGGTATAAATTTATTATATTATTATTATTATTATTATTATTATTATTATTATTATTGATTGGGAAGTGGGAGGTAGTTAAGGCTGGGCTATTAATTGCATTGAAATCAGAACAATGTCCTTAGCAATAGCATTTTTAGAGAGGAGGAATAGTAAACCATAATGCAAGCTGGTACATCTGGACTGGAATACATATGAAGAGCTGAACAATTTTATTGGTATTTACCTAGTAAATAATGTTGGCCCCTGGAAAGAGGCAGTATTTGTGCTCCTTGGCACAAAGGAATCAAGCAGTTAAATCCGCTGGTGTGTAGAGCTCCAGCCTCCAGTTTCAAACAGAACAATCCCATCTGGCCTATCCATTACAGCTCTGCTAGCTGAGGGAGACTGCAGGTCATATCAGGAAATCTTTGAAACAGAGCGCTCTCCCCAAGGTAGCATTTTTGCAAGGACTACAGCAAACCTGCCAGTTAGAGAGTCTTCAGTTCATGTTGTGGAGTGGAATCCTCTCATGAGTAAGCTGCAAATTCCACATTCACAAACCACTGAAATCCATAGGACCTTAGTCAAGTCTCATTTATTTCAATGGGTCTACTCTAGTGTGTCTAAGTCTGGATTCAAACCACTTTTATTTTCCTTTTTAAGCCCCCACCCCATTTGTCTCTCTCTCCTTAAATCTTGAGCACCACCTGCTAAAGTAACATCCACAAAATGAATGGAACTTAACTGATACCATCTAAATCACTACTCAAGCCATAGTAGTTTGGGAAGGGCATTATCTTTCCATTTCCTCCCCACATCCCAGAAAATTCTGTCACTACTTGAATGACTAAGACTGGATCTGCCCCGATAGGTTCTTTTTGTTGTGGTTGTAACAAAGGGCACTGAACTTGAGTCACAGGGAATGCTTTATATTTCCTGAGCTAATAGGGACTTCGATTACAAGGACTATTATTTTGCCTTGAACTAAATCCTTTCAAGACCCCATTAATTCACATCAATAGCCAAACTGCTTGTACTGGCAAAACATTTCTGCTCATTATTTTCTTGTGTCATCTGAAAAATGTTGATAAAGTTCATATCAAGGCCACCAAAACCCATTTCATTTTTGACCCTATACATCCTTTGGGCTACCAGGATATTTATTCATTCTTCCATTGAAATTGTGAAGGAACATTATATCCATGCGATACCAAAAAGAGAAAAAGATGAAGAATGGTCTCCTTCAAATGGTTCCCTATTGAAATGAAGTATATAATAGCAAAGAGGTCAAAACCATACCTAGCCTGTGCCTTTGTTTTCAGTTCTTTATAAATAGCTCAAATACATCGAGATTGCTTCTCATATTGCTAAGAGTTTCCATTTTAATAAAAATGTACGTTTTGCAACACAGCAAAAACCAGCTGCTAAAGCATTAATAGTCTGACTGTGCTCCACAGCATATAATTCCCATTAAAAATAGTATTGGTGACATATTTTTCAATTAATAAATGCTTTGAAAACTGATGGCATTTCATTCTACTTTGGAATCAAGGTAGCTATGTAGCTATATAGGCAAGATTTCCACAGGCTAAGCAAATATTTTTACAGAGTTACATAAAACAGTTCTTAAGTGATCAAGTCAAGCATCGTGAACAAGACAACACAATCTACCCAACGCTGCCATTCTGTTCATGCAACCAACTTCCAGTTGCACAATAGAACTTTTCCCTCTTCTCCACAAACACAACCCACAAACACCCTCAAAATCCAGTCCAGAACAAATTGTTGGGGGACAGGAAAAGGAGAGAAAGTATTGTTATAGGACTGGAACTCTCCATATGCAACATTGGATACAACCCTGTGGGTTACCCCAACCCTCAGCATCTGCAATTTTGACTTGCACTTGAAGATTTATATAGTTTAATTTCAAACCAACATCAGGCCTGTTTTCAGCACTGAATAGCCTGGGTAGCCCTAATGGATGACTTCCAACAGAAGCAGGAAGAACATGACTCTGTTGATTCTCCTTGACCTCATGGAGACTTTTCATGCCCCTGATCACCTCTGTGAGTTTAGAATTGGGGGCATGGTCTTGTAATGGTTCCACTCCTAATTTCAGAGTAATTTTTCATGGACTACACTAGAAGATTCCTGCTCAACCCTTTGGCACTTCTGTGGAGTCCCATGAGGTTCCATCTTGTTCCATGTTTCTCTTTAACATCTGAACAAAGGTTACTGGAAAAGGCCATTCAAATGACTTAGAGCAAAGAAACTCAACTCTATTTCTTTTTGTTATCCAACTCAGGTGATGGATTCAGCAGCTGGCTGGCTGAAGACTAATAAACTGAAGTGTAAACCTGACAAGATGGAGCTCCTTTGAATAAATGGTTCTCTAGCTCAGGGAAGTATGGTGGCAAGAGATGGACACATTTGAAAAAGTTTCCATTTGTTTCCTTTTCAGTTTTTCTTCCATCCAGGGATCTCCTGCAGTTGCAATTATCAATTACCCATTAAGCCTCATAATGTTCCTGTTGAATGTCATGTCAGTTAATGGGAAAATATTGGTCACCCCAGATTTCATTCTGGATTGGCAAGGTGACCTACCATATTATTACCAAGACCTGACAAGGCAAAGTGTGTGTGCTTGTCTCTCCCAGCTGAGCACATGATGTTTCTCAGTACAGTGCTAAGTCTTTAAGGGCATGATTTCACTGTGATCTCACTGTGATTCCATCTTCATGTTGTTGTTGTTGTTGTTGTTGTTGTTGTTATTATTATTATTCAACACAGGATAGTGATTATATTCAATAGCCTCCCTGCCTGAGCTGGTGGAGATGATCTCATGAGTGGCACTAAAGAGACTTAGAATGTTTTAATCTTTTATTTTTGAATTTTAAATGGACTTACTAGATGCTTTGCAGTTACTTTTCAAGACAGAAAGGGGAAGTCCTAGCAGGCATTATGTAGAACTCCGACTTTTACAATACAGAGAAAGTCTATTCAACTCTGCACTGCAGACCTATAGAGGTGACAGGGGCAGCAAGCGGGTAGGAGCTCATGTGCTTGGCTCCACTCCCCCGCTCTCATGTTCTACTCACTTCATAAAATATAGAGCTATAATTATAAGCCCATTAAATATGTTGTTTTGTGGTAGGCATGAAGGGGCACAAAAAGCAAGGCAAAGGCAGTAAGAGCCAGAAGCGGCTGGCAGTGCATCAAAGGTGGAGCTGCGCTGCTATCCTGGTTTCTCAATGCTGTGTGTCACTGCTGATTACCGAGAAGGGAAGGGGTAAGGTGCTGAGCTCCTGCTAGCTTGCCTCTTACCCCTACTCTCTCTTTTCATGTGTCACTGGGAAACCAGGTTAGCAACACAACCTCATTCATGCCACCCCATTGGCCGCTACTGGTAAGAGTACTTGTGGCTCAACAAAACCTTTATAGGAATTATAATATATATTTGACTTTATCTGGCCTATTGGGATGTGGACTGAAGTACTCTACTGACTTCACAAAAGTACATTTATTTGTTCATGCTTCAATCACAATCAATTAATTGGTGGTGACAGTATAAAATAGCTAAAAGTTTGAAAAGAACATTTTATACAAAATTGTGATCAAGAGAGTTAAATGCTTCATTAGTACACACAGTGTGACATAGTTAAAAAGTACTATAGGTATCCAGTGTATCACTTATTATCCAAATAGCAATTGCATCTTCTGCAAATAATATAATGCCCTTGGTAAAGTATATTGATCGGCCTGACCTCTTGACAAGGAAAGCAAACACAATTTACTGTGGCATTTGATTCATATTCAGACTACTCAAGAGTTCACTCTCCTACAAGATATCTTTAGCAAAGCAGAGATTCATCTTCCAATGAATGTGTTTTGGAGAGCACGGAACTGCTGATCCAGGTTTTTCAGCTAACCGTCTTACCAAGGCTAAATTGAAAGATTTTCTAAGGCATGTTGTGGCTGCGGGATCTCAGCAGCTCTGACCACAGCTGGAAGTCCACTAGCTCCATTGACCACATCAGTAACCATAGCAAGAGTGAGAAAGAAATCAGAAATCCAATATTGCCAACCGGGGCCCACCATTTATCTCTGCAAGTGCAACAGGGAGAGATTTCAAGTACTTAATACACACAGTTATGTATTCTGTCCTGTTACTGTTTTTGATTAAACAGATTTTGCAGGTTTCTAAATCACTACAAATGCCTATTTGACCAAAGATTATAGTAATTTTGTGTCTGTGTATATAGGGCTTTCACCTCTATCATTCTGCCTTTAAATCAATATCGTCTATGTATAGCTTTAGCAGGGAGGGAAGTTTACTCATTTATAGGTTGTACTTGGTCAATGCATTCTTAGTTGTTTCATTTCTACTTTCTAATGATACTGTCCTGCTCTTTGGATATTTGGGGTTTACATTGTAATACACAGGCATAATACAGGTAATGTTGCTGCCAGAAATTCAACTCATTCTGGTCAGCAAAATAAGACAGAAAAGGGATTTGATTGATTGACTTCCTGTTCACAGTGGTTGTCCATCCACTGACATCTATATCCTTTGAGTTTCATTTTAATGAAAGGCAAGAAGTGACCTAGTGATATAGAAGTGACCTCCTTGATTCTGAAGCATATTATGAAGTGAAACACAAGGAAAAGATAATGCCGTGTGCACTGGAGTTTGAAAGTAATACTTACAGTTTCTATAGCAGCTGGTCTTATGAGTTTTTGGTCTATTATTATAAGACCTTATTTGTTCCTCAGTTCTAACAGTTGTAAGTATTTATTTATTTAGTCAAATCATTGATTCATTAAGTGTATATTATGTTGCAGTGAGCTCACTTTATAAAGACAAATAACTTCCAAAATGTAGCTTCTCTTGTCCCTCTTTGGCCCATATTGGAGTGTTCCATCCCCAAACTTGAAAGCACAAACAGGAAGAAAAGTGGTGTTGGTGGTGGCAAATGTTGTCCCCTCTGGCACATCACCTGCACACAATCTAGCACCCTCCATGAATTTTGGGTTGAAGGTCTGAAGCAAGAAGCCTCCTCAACTCTAGAAGGCTCCATACACAATTCAAAATTGTAGGAGTTTAATTCATCATTTAAAACTCTAGATTTAAAACTCATCATTAAAACTAGGTTTCGGGTTTGCATGGGACGAGGCTTCACAAGCACAGAAAGTTTCTATCTTCACATCTGCACCTTCCATGTTTTAGAGAGCTCTAAACATGATAATGATGACACACTTGGCAGGAAACTATGTCTATGACCTCTTTATGTGAGGGGGTGGGTAGGAATTATATGTATGATATTAGAGATCTGATTTTCTTGCTGCTTTTATATCCACTTAATATTTCTTGTAATCTCTGTTGTGATCCTGTAAGTTACTTTGAATAAAAATAAGAAGTAATAACTAATGCTCACAAAATGTGTACTAGATTGTAATATCCTTGGAGGCAAAGACTGGACTAGCAGCCCAGTTCTGGAACTTGGCCCTCAGAGTTCAGTAAGACATCACCTTTGGGATTCAAGGGCTCTGCTTACAACAGGCAGAGCTCCCCTTCAACAATACTTATTCTCTCTCTACTTCTCTAAGCAATGAGAAGGTTGAAAGTCAATGAGAAGTCTATGAGACCTCTCTATAAGACTCCCATCTGGTCCAGCCAGCACAGACAGTAGTTATAGATGATGGGAGCTATAGTCCACAACCTATGGAGGTCCACATGTTCACTATCCAGTATCTTTGTAATACTTGCTTTATTTACAAATATACAAGCAGGTTCGAAGAAAGGGATAGTTGGTACTCTTACAAGACCACAGATTAATTTAAGATGATCATCCCAGAACAAAGAAACTTCAAAGAAAACTCCATCATGAAACTGCTGAACTGTAACTTATTTAAAAAGTTCAGTTCTGAATAGAGAAAATTGTTTGCTGTGCCACAATGTGTGTTAATTTACTCAGTGATTCTAAAGCAATTGTGTTATCACCAATCACAACTACTGTGGTCACTGTCCTGTTGCATACATGTTAGCAATAATATATTGTCACTTCATTTAGCAATGCTAAGATAACTGCATTATCAAAAGTTACTGCTGCTGTTAAGATAATTTTGCATACATCTAGGGGGAAATTATTTGGCAAGAACCACCAGGATGAGCAGCTTAGGATGCAGTGGATCTCCAGCTCAGCTGGCATTACGTCTCCAACCCTGGCTCAGCCAAAGATATATTTGTGTAAGTTGTTCAGCTGGAGCACAGTCAAAGCTGGCTAAGGGAAGGCCTGTGTAAGTCTCTGAAAATGGTGGGCGGGACCAGAGAGGGGAAGGATTTTGGCTGGATCCTAAAACCATTCAGTTTGGCCATGTTACCTGGCAACCCAGCACAGGGCACTGTTTTAAAGGCTTCTTTTCCCTCTGCAGGCTTAGGCAGAATAGCAGTAGCAGCCCCACTGCTGAATGGGGTTTAGATCTGGTGTAACTTTACACTGACTTAACCTAGACTAGATTCTTCCCTTGAGCTCTGACTGAACTGTTGCCAGCTGTACTATTGCGTTCCTTTGCCATTTAACCCCAATCTTTACATCTTTCTCTTTACACATATGTATATACCTAAGAATCATATTCTATGCATTTGATGATGGCTCTAGACCATGACAGCTTGTGCTATACATAATTTGCAAGTCTTTGAGGTGTCACAGGGCTCTTTGTTGCTTTTGCTGCAACAGCATGGCTACCCCTCTGGCAATTGTCAAAGGGCTATTAATATTCTTTTGTCAAATCCCAGGCACTCATGAGTTGAAAGTTTAAGACAAAACCATAATGACAGACCCAGTCACAGTAATTGCAAAGCAAACTCAGAACAATGCCATATATTGCTTGCATTATTTTTGATGGAGTAGAGAGCTGACTATGAAACCTGACGCCATAATAACCCCTTTATTTGTTTCATTGTCAAAGAGTCCACATAATCCTTTGCTTCCTTACTTATTTAGTATCTCCCATTGTTTTGGAACAATGCTTCTTCAGCCCTCTATGCTGAACCACTAGGCAATTAGACATATTAAATTATGGGACTACCTCCTATTTGCCACAAGGAATTCTCAGTTTTATTGATGATACCAATCTTGCTGTATCTGCATCTCTAGTGACTCAATACTGGCAAACAATTAATCTCTAAGAGTGGCAACTAAGAATGTGTTTAATTCACAGAGCAAGCTACCCCTGATAAATTATGTGATGTTCAGCTTGTAAGTGCTGGTTCTTGCTATGGGACCTACATATTTTTTTAGTTCTGTATCCTTATCATTTGGCCCATGATACTTTAGAAGAACTCCAGAATGAATAAAGAAATAAAAGTGTTTTCTCTTTCAAAAACTGGTTGTTTTATTGCCCTTAGTGATACCATTGTCAATAAATACATTTTTAGGGAATCCTGGCAATATCACTATTGCTCCTTCTGCCTTGTAATAAAGCATGTTGCATTAATAGTTGCATGTACAGCAGTACTGTGTATGAAGATAAAGCAGATGAGAAGTTGACATTGAGAAATCCAAATACATTGTGCACTGTACAATCAAAACAGCTGATTACATGACAGCCTGTCCTTTTGTACACAATGTAGAGAACGCCAGTGGAGTCTGCTTGTGAATGTTGAGGTGGAGGGCACTTCAATATTACACTGTCAATCAAGTTTGTGTTCTGTTTAGAGATTGTAAGTATACAGACCCCCAAGGGAGCAATTCTGTACACAAGAAGCTGGGGTAAAGCACCCCGGTGTAAGTTAAGCCAGCAAATATAGCACTCCGTTCAGCAGTGGGACTGCTGCTGTTTTGCCTAAGTCTAGCAGATGGAAAATAAGCCTTTAAAATAGGTCACGTGAGCAAGCTGAATGGGTTTAAGATCCAGTTAAATTCCCTCCGCCTTGGTCCCTCCCCTGCCCTATGTCTGGAATGTCCCTTTTATGGGACTTACAGTCAGTGTTGATTGATCTGGCTGAGAACCAGGTGAGTCAGGATGCACACAGTATGTTGGCATATATTTGGCTTTCCCAAGATTGGGAGTTTAACTCCTGTTGAGCCTGAGCTGCTCTTCTCAGCAGATCATGCTATATGGTTGTCCCCTTAGACACCCTTAGCTGAAAAATATTAAGTGATGATCTAAACAGCTGCAGCCAACACAAACATGTATCAGGAGAAGAAAGATGAAAAAAGGGTTGCACAGTCTTTGAGCCCTGGGCTCTCTGGACAATTGCAGAAAACCCACCTTGAAGCAGATCTCAAAAACATAATCTATATTTAGAATAAATACTATGGTTTAATTACGTTTGGTCTAATTTATCATGACTTGCTTCACCTATTGATTTATGACAGGTGGTCATCCAATAACATGAAGACAACAGTACCCACATTACGAAGCCTACATTTTTAAAAGGTTAGTAACAGTCACTCCTAACTGAAAATTCTGAACTTTGTCAAGGTGCTAATTAAAGGGGAAAGAATGCTTGTTGCTGCCTCAGATTTATGCATTATAACATACAAATATGGAAAACTCAATGACAAAAGCATCATGTTAGTTAAAGGGTATATCAAATCTGCTTGTATGAATGTCATAAGAATGTTTATTATCACCACACTATGAAGCCTTAAGCTAGAAAGTAATTGTTCTGCAACAATGCAGCTGTTCATGTTTCGTCTGTGTCAGAAACACACATAAGTGCTTTTGCTATCAAGGGAGATTGGCAATAAACAAGTCTGAACAATCACTCTAACCATTTCAAGACACGGGAGTGTATCAGCTTGCATTAGCCATGATGGGATGAAGAAGCCATGTCAGATTCTATAGAAAGCCAGTCCTACTTACATGAAACACTTTTGAAATATTGTACTTTGGTTACTGTGTCCAGTTTTCTAAATCTAGCAAAGAAAATGCAATGTCTCGAATCACAGCCTGGGTCTAATATGCAGGCCATAAGTCCCATCAGATAGATAATACTGAAGCCTCAATCACAGAAAATGAGCACTCTGTAAAAGCTATGGGCATTCCCTGGATCATGAGGTGGGCTGATTTCAAACCTGCAGGGATCTTCTTTTGTTTTCACAAGAACCCTGAGATCCACCAACTGAAACCAGGCCCCAATGACATAAACACAAACCCTCTTTAGCATTATCCTTCCAACACCCAAGTGTGGCCAGGTTGAGTAGCTCAGTCCCCAATGTTACATGATCCAAGCAACACTCCCTCCTATTTTCCACATTACAGTTCAAATGTATGGGGTGGGGCTTTGTGCCCCTGCAGTTCTTTGCACAAAGGATTCCACATGATTTAGAACACTTTGGCTGTATGGAAGCCTCTGTGCATTCCCTTGTATGTCCAAAAGCCCCACACTAAAGATGTTAGCAACACAGTACATGTGCATATCAGGGGGAGGGGACATCTTAGCACATGCTACACTCTGGGTGCAGCCCCACATCCTCTTCATGTATGGCACATATGATGACTGAAGAGGGTTTTAGAATTAAATAATATTGAGCCCAAGGATTTGTCTTTAGTACCAGAACTGAACTGAGCCTACTGTCCTTCCACACAAACTTCCACTCCTGGAAATTGTTCCCCAGCACGCTTCATTTCAGTATTCTTCATTTTTTTGGGGGGGGGGGTAGGAGGAGTCTTTCTCTCTGCTTTGTTGCCAAAACAGTTGTCAAACAACTGGGGGTCATAAATCCATCCTGATCTATTCCAAGTCTCTCAGAGTTCTACCCGGGGATACAAATAACTCTAGCCATCCCTTCTCTAGATGGCTCTCTGGGATGGAGCTATTCAGTCTACTGGTCTTGGCTGTGGTATAACTGGAAAGCCACAAATGGGAGAATAGAGGACAAGAATGGGAAGAACGGGCTCAGTGCTAACCTTTCTTCCTGTCAATGCCGACACCAGCTACAAGTTCTTTACTTCAGGGACTTTTGGTTGTGATATAGAGGTTCCAGCTAGCTGTGTGTCAAACACTGATAATGCAGTTAGGGCATGTACTAAGGCTATAGCTAGTTATACAGAAATACTAGCCCTTTGTCACCTCCTCTATCCCCTGGAGACATTATAATTATAGAAAATAGATGAGCTGATCTCACTGAACCATGAAAATGCTTCCACACAGCGGTTTACTGTGGACTCACTGTTGCTTGTGAATGTTAAGTTTTTACGCACATCTTCATCACAATGCCACCCCATATGACTTTCATTTAATCTGGATTTACTGTTGCCACAGAAATACCTTTTTTTCTCTCTCTCCTTGCAGAAAGACTAGTTCTGGATTCAATGGTGGGTGTGGCAAGTGATTCTGATGAGGACAGTCTTGTAGAGGCACTGTGAAAACATCCATGAAAAACATCCATGCATGAGCAGCACCAAGCTCACAATATACTGTTGTGTAGAAGCACCCAAATTATTTCCACCCCTGCAAGTAGATGCATACAAAATGGAGCCAAGACTCACAGACCAACAAAGTAATGCATTTTGTATTGCTACACATTGGGGGTGAGGGGAGAGAAAGGAGAAGCAGCAGAGATGCTCTTTATGGTGGCCACCACAGACTAGTTTCTTTCTTTTTTAATATTTGTTTTTCATTAATTTTCCAATATTTACCCAATATCACCAGTTTTACCAATTATACAGATTCCAATTAATATTTAAAAAAATCCAATTATTTCCAAATTTATACAATTTAATCAAAGTGGTTTCACACGCTCCTTGATCAGTGTTTTTGTGCAGTTCTTATATTGCTGAGGTTCAGATTTTTTTATTAACATCTGATTACATTTCAGTTGGTATATTAATCATTAAGATAACAGCTGAATTTTTAGCAATTACTATTCATGTTAATACCTTATCTAACTTTCCATAGGATGTCAAATGATGTGCTCCAATTATTTTCCTTTTCCCTGCTTGTGTCAGTCTGAATATGCCCAATTATAAAAGTCCTTGGCCTTTGTCTGCTGTCCAATTCTTGAAATTCCTCCAGTTGCTGTTGTCTCTCAACGTAGCTGGGATAATCCTTGAGAATTCTCAAAATATCTCATTAGCTCCCTCCCACTGTGCTCTCATGTTGCTTGGTGTTTCCGGACAACATCATACTACAACAGTCCACTCTTTCTCACTACTCAGATAACATCTAGAAATCTAGTCCGAGAAATCTAGCCAAAGAAACATACAGCTCGAGAAAGAGGGATCCAGATTCCACCGCAGGGGATTTCATTTTAGTACTTTCATTTAGTACTTTCATTTTAATTAATCACCATCAAAGTCTCCATGCCTCTCTCATCCATGGCTCCAAATTCCTTTCATTTCACAACTGCATTTTGGCCAAGGTCCACTTAAGTTGTATCTCTTCTCTCTGTGTGTGTTGTTGTTGGGTTTTTTTTTGGGGGGGGGGTTGTTTTCCAAAACAACCCATTCCAACATTAGAGCTCTCCCCCCATCTCTTTAAACCACGAACAGATAACTGTTCTTTTAACCACAAGTTTTATTTCATACTGCAATCCAACCTCATTTTGGATCTTTAAAATTTTGCATCTGGAGCGGGTTGCTGAAACATTAATTAATAAAGAAACTCAAAGTAAACAGGAAGCCAGAGGCTCCCCTCTCCACCATCCACTGCCCACACCAAATAAAATACTTTTCTCAGTTCCAAACCTCAGCTCAATGCAGCTGGGTAATTCCATAGTTCTGATGACAACATCTTCTTTCAGAGCATGCCTGACTTTAAAGCCAATAAAAAATTCATTTAACAGGAGAACCTCTGCTTCTTAATGGCAGTGTAGGAGGGTTTTCGCCAGGCAAAGTGCTTTTGCACTCAGCTCCTCCCTGCCCCTCGCATTCCATGCCAGAGCGAGTGCCATGGACTGTGAGTGAAGCCCATTCCTTCCTTCCTTGGGGGGGAATTTCTAAAAATGATTTACCCTCTATTTCTCTCCACCTTCGATCCCCATGACATCGTGGGGGTTCCCTCCATTAAGGCAGATAGGAACCAGAAACTCCACAAGGACTAGTTTCAATACCTTAGCTTTTTGTAGTTATCTAGTACTACAATTTTTAATGATAATCTCAGACATCTCTAAAAATGATCAAGGAGAATATTTGGAAGGTTGATACTTTACTCTAGGGGATACTTCAGGCCCACCTTATGTAGGTCTAGCTTCAGTAACAGTGTAGATAGAAGAACAATATTAAAGTCCTTTGCGAGAATGTAATAGAACTTGTACCATGACAGTATTTTAAAGATGAATGGATTTTGAACTGAAGCGAGTGAAAATGATAACATGTGGCTCCTTGCAACGCAGAGATTTGAAAATCTCTTTAAGCTCATGGCTCCATGATGAATAAGGCTGTGGCTTCTTCAGCTCTCTGCTTCAAGCAAGAAACCAGGAGTGTAAGGAGAGCTCTCTTTGAAGAAACCTATATGCATTGTGAAAAGCATAACAGGAAAAGGGAGTCAGACTGTGACCAGGATCATGCTTCCAGCTTTATTCTGTTTTTTAATATATAATTTTAATTAAATTTTCTGTTTTACAATTTAAAATACTCATTTCACATCCTTAAGATATCAATGACTTCCCTTCTTTTTCCATGGTTCATTTTACATATCATAAAACCCTGCATATTTTACCAAAACTATATCAATCAGTTTTCCATTATTGCATCCATCAAAACTTATTTACACTATTGAATTTATCTTAATGCTGCCAGCATTTTCAGCTGTACACAGTTTTTCCCATATATTCAATAAGCGTTTTACAATCTTCTTGTTCTCTTATTCTATATGTTAAGTCTGCAAGTTGTACATATTCTGTCAACTTAAGTTGCAATTCTTCTTTGGTTGGGACCTTGCTCGTTTTCTATTTTTGACCTAACAAAACACGGGCCGCAGTTGTAGCATACATAAATAACCTTTTCTGACACCTGGGAATTTCAGTCTGAATTATCCCCAACAGAAGCCCTGCCCTTGATTCAGTCATAGGCTTCCTCTTACTTTCTTACTGGTTTGCTCCCTAAATTCACAGTATCGTCACCAGCCAGATTTTGTCCGTCCTGTCCTTAATCTCAAGACCTTTCCTGATTAGCATTTAACTTCCCATTTGTTGCTGAAGTCAATACCACTTATGGCAGATATAAACATTACCACATAGTCTACCTCATCTAATAATACCATGAATTGTATTCCAAACCAAATTTCACCATACCTTTCATTTGAGTTGTTCTCCAGTGTGTGGATCAAGGTTTTTACTCGGCCCAGTATCTCCACCCCCATCATTCTGCCTGGATGCTAAGATCCAGCGCTGAGGGCCTTCTGGCGGTTCCTTCACTGCGAGAAGCAAAGCTACAGGAAACCAGGCAGAGGGCCTTCTTGGTTGTGGGGCCTGCCCTGTGCAGTGCCCTCCCATCAGATGTCAAAGAGATAAACAACTACCTGACATTTAGAAGACATCTGAAGGCAGCCCTGCTCAGGGAAGTTTTGAATGTGTGACATTTTAATGTATTTTTAATCTTTGTTGGAAGCCGCCCAGAGTGGCTGGGGAAACCCAGCCAGATGGGTGGGGTACAAATAATAACTTATTGTTATTATTATTATTATTATTAAATGGAAGTTTTAAGATCTCAATTTGCACACATCTACCTTTCAGCAAACTAACTAAGCACCTAATTTTCAACTTCTCTTTTCACCCTTCACCTCCCCAATCTCAGAGAAGTCATATATTTCATTGTCACCCATTTTGAAAGTTTGGTAAGGCAAAGAAAGGTAAAGGGACCCCTGAACGTTAGGTCCAGTTGCGGACAACTCTGGGGTTGCAGCGCTTATCTCACTTTACTGGCTGAGGGAGCCGGCGTACAGCTTCCTGGTCATGTGGCCAGCATAACTAAGCCGCTTCTGGTGAACCAGAGCAGTGCACGGAAACGCCGTTTACCTTCCTGCCAGAGTGGTACCTATTTATCTACTTGCACTTTGACGTGCTTTCGAATTGCTAGGTTGGCAGGAGCAGGTAGCAAGCAACAGGAGCTCACCCTGTCACGGGGATTCAAACCGCCGACCTTCTAATTGGCAAGTCCTAGGCTCTGTGGTTTAGACCACAGCACCACCCGTGCTGTCAAATGTTGACCTTGGCCTCCTCCCTTCATGGCATGGCTATGGTTGACTCCCATGGAATATCAACTATGTTTAAAGTTCTGTATTATACCAGTTGCCAGGATGGCGTGGGCACCATTAATTCTAAGTAGGTCTCATTTTGATCACTGCCTACATGAAAGACAGCCTACGACTTTCAAGAAAGGAACAGAACAAGGCACAGATGAACCAGAAACAACCATCCATAGTGCAGAACAACTTGGAAAAGTTCGATTGCTCTGTTTCCCCCCGCCTCCCACAATAAACACACCAAGGAACAAAATTAGTTTTTAGAGTTGGATGTAGAACATCACCTAAAATGTTTGCTGGAAACAGTTGAGAGAATTGACTCAATTAGAGAAAATACTCAAAGAAAGAATGGCTGCCTGACTGTGAGGTTTGGTCACACTGTTTCCAGCAATCAACAAGGAGAGTTTTTTAAAAAACAAAAAACTTTATTTCTCATTTTCAGTTTTGTAAATCAACATACATCAAATAATCCATCCATACATTAACAACTGACTTCCCTTCCTGCCCTCCATGGTTCATTACAGTTCTCCTTCATTGCGTGTCGAGGTCCCCAAGCCACCCCCCAAATAACTCACAACGCACACTTAATTTTTGTTTAAGGTTTTTGGCATAATTTTGGCCACAACTTTATTTAAATACAAAACCGTGAGTGGTTGTTTAGGCATTGGTTAAGACTATCTGTCCCCCCGCCTGGGGACAGAACTGACTTCCGGGCACCACCGAAAGACAGTGCGGGGGAAAGCAAGTCGGAGAGAAATGGAGCTGGGTACCACAGACCCTCAATTCTCATCCGCATGCTCCCCGAAGGCTTGCCGGCCCTAGTCCCATTCCAGGGATTGGACGAAAAGATGGCAAGCCCCAGGATTCCTTTAACGGAATTCCCTTTCCGCAGCAACCATGGAGGGGCAGGCCCAGCCTATCCTAACCCCTCCTCCACCAATTTATAACCAATGCCTAACCGCCAATCGAGCCCTTTACGCTCGCCGCCAACCACTCACAATCCCAACCCAACCTTCAACCTTGCAGTTACCGCATCCAACCAAACATCATTCCCCAGTACAGAGAGATGTACTCCATCATTGCGGTAAAGGGCCAGAGCCTTGAAGGTAATATCCGGGCGGGAAATAACCAATCCACCCAAATCCGCCACCTTCTTACACACTGCAGAATTAATGAGCTTCCTGGCCCTTTCAGCAGCCTCAGGTCGAGAGATGCCGTGCCAATTGCGCCTTTGCAGCAATTGTGACCAAAATATTTTAACTGTGGGTATTAAGGTCACCAATTCACCCAAGTCTCTCTGAATCGTGGTGCGCAAAGTAAAGCAATCATAAGTTGCCACATCGTTCTCCCCAGCTGAACCACAATTGCCATGGGGGCCATCCGAAAGCACCCTCTGCTTAATTAGCGGGATGAATTCGCTCCACTGCATTCTGCGCCTGGACATCCACAACACCTGCACATGCTGCGGGAGGCCAAGACCCAGTCCCCTTCCAGACTGCCTAGCTCTGATGCCAGCCCAGTAAACGATGCTGTGCCCCACAATCCAGATGCGGACTGGAGCTAGAAACATGGGCAGGAAGGCCGTGATGGCGCCCCCAGTCCAGACTCGTCAGGGTGCTTGCCAGCTCAGTGCATGATGCTGTGGCCGACAATCCAAATGCGCACAGCTGCTCCTATGAAAAAGGAATAACAGACAGGCATCAGCACAGGCATCATTGGCGATGCTTCCTGACATAACCTTTGTCAGCGTCAGACTTCCAATGACCCTTATTCACAATCCTGTCTACTAACAGGCCCCAATGCGCAGCCTTTGCAGCAGCACCTATTTGGAAGGAATGAGGCGTGTTCAGCGGTAGGCAAGCTGCAGGCTGCAATAACTGGCGCACGACGTGAGCAATTAGATGCCTGTCGAACCGAAACCCATTTCTGTGCACTAGGATCGAGCCAGCCCCCAGGGGAACGAAAAGCCAAATATTTTTGGTATCCAATAACAGGACAAGGGCCCACCTCACCTGTGACTGGAAGCCTGATGGTGGCAACCCTGCTCACTAGGTCTGACTTAGAGCTCCAGACACTTATGACAAGCTCCAAAGCAGATAGGAAAAGTCCTGAGGCAATAAGCCTCCAAACTCTCAGCCCCGTGCTGGCTCCAACACAATTTCCCCAACCCTCAGTACACCAAAATTACAATGGAATACTGAAATAAGTCTCGTCTTGATCTTGAACCAGCCAACAAGTCTCAACTTGTTGCAGATACTGCATAGGTCAAAGATTGACCGGCTTCCTGCCTGCTGTCCTGTGAAGGTCAGAGCCTATTCCAACCTTCTGAGACCCTGCGCATGACACACTTTTAGAAGGGTCTCTGAAAATTAAAGCTTTACTCTAGCAGACATTGCAGCGGACTGAATTCTGATAGTTTTAACACTGCATCCTATCTGCAGCAGGTGGGCGAATTACTGCAGGTCCTGCTCAGAGGATGGGGGCAGGTTCCTCTGAATGGCTGAGGACTACCAGCTAAATTTTAAGAAATCAGTCCAGGCCTCATAAGACCTGAAAGCGGATGGGGAAACGTAAGCTACGATTCCTCATAATTATTAATTGTTGCCAAGTGCCACAGGAGCTCCAGAAAAATAGCTGGGTGTCCAGAGCCCAGGATCTGAAGCTCTCCAACTGAAAAAACGGGATAGAGCCACAGCAAAAACATTAGATGATCCCGAAATAAAGTGAGCAGAAACGCAATATTAAACCTTAAGCAGTGCGAAGACTCTGCCAGAGCATGAAGACCGTTTTGCCAGGACTCTCACACTGCCTGGTTATCAGACCAAGACAGACCTGACGGTCCCTAAACTCCTCAGTCCAGATGTGCGCTGACACTACAATGAGGAAAACTCAAGAAAAGTTAGGTTACATGTGATTGCCTTGCCCTGCCAGGCTCAAGGCCACTGTACATGATGATGAAGGGACACCGGGCCATGAGACCACCTGGCCAAGCAGGAATGGAAGGGGCAGCCTGGAGCAACCACCCTGCATGCAAAATTTAACTGACCTAGGAATGATAGGATCTGACAAAGCAACACTTGCCTCAGAGGAAGTATTACAAGAATAACATCCTTCAAGGCAAACAGCTTTTCCACAGGCAAGCAGATGTTTGAGCAACGGTATCCAGCTAGCCCCCAAATACATTAAAAGGGGCAGTAGGAGCCACTGTCCTCCACTGCCAACAGAACACCCAGCTCCTCAGGGAATAAAGGGGCATCTAGTAAGCTAAGCAGAGGCTGGTGTCACATGAACCAGCCAGTAAAATAATCCACATAACGATACCCCCAGTTAAACGAGTCTTGACTCGCAATGTCCAATCCAGAAAGGCGCTAAAGGACTCAAGTGCTGCACAGCCTATTGAGCAACCAACTGGCATCGCCTTATCCATATAAGGACCATCCAATTAAAGCCTAACTACTTAAAATCTTGAGGGTGAACCAGCAGCAGCCTAACAGCCGATTCAATATCACATAATGCCAACAAGGCACCTCCTCCAATTTGTTGGTAAGCTCAACTGCCTGATCCAAAGATGCATATTTCACGGAACAATTCCGGAGGGATAGCATCATTCACTGAGGTGCCTTTGGGGTGCGATAAATATGGATCAGATGGAATTATATGGGGCTTTCTTAGGGACGATCCCCAATGGGGATAAATGAAAATCGGGACTAGAAGGAGAATCAAGGGGATCCCACCATACGTCCCAATGCAAGCTGCTTCCTAACCTTCTTTCTGGCTACCACAGACTTTCTGGCTACCACAGACTCTAACTGACTTTTGAGTTGCTGTATTCTGAGCCACTGGCTGAAAAGCCAGAGGAATCCTGAAACCTTGGGGAAAACCCTTCCCACAAGCACAAAGCTACTGACGCATCTAGATAACCTTTTAGCCAGGCTTTAAAGGGAGATATTTTTATGGAAATATGGGCGAGAGGTATTGAGTTATTGCTTGCCAGCCCCGCTTGGGCAAGAAGCCCTGCCTTGTGTTGCCACCATGATGTGTAAATTTACAGGGCCAACACTGGCCAGAGACCCTAAAGAAGTCCCAACAAAGCTGCCACCGGGCCAGCTTCCTGCATACCAGCTTCAGGTTCTATTGCTCAGGGAATTTCCATTTGAAATGTGGAGCTGCGCAAGTGGTCCACATGTCCCCGTCCCTGCGATCCTAGCGAGCTAAGGGGATGATGGCAGCCCTGCGTCTAACATTCCCATCATAGTGAATTACCACTTATAGAATAGTGGGGTTGGAAGGGACTCCTAGGATCATCTAGTCCACTCTCCCACAATATCATCATCATCATCATCTATTTGTACCCCGCCCATCTGGCTGGGCTTCCCCAGCCACTCTGGGCAGCTTCCAACAAAATATTAAAATACAGTAATGCATCAAACATTAAAAGCTTCCCTAAACAGGGCTGCCTTAGATATCTTCTAAAAGTCTGGTAGTAGACATCTGGTGGGAGGGTGTACCACAGGGCAGGTGCCACTTCCGAGAAAGCCCTCCACCTGGTTCCCTGTAACTTGGCTTCTCACAGTGAGGGAACCACCAGAAAGGCCCTCGGCGCTGGACCTCAGTGTCCGGGTAAAGTGATGAGGGAGCATGCAGCTGTCCCATACAGGGACCAATCCTGCAACCTAGGCATTACCGGCACCATACGCTGACCAGCTGAGCTATCCAGGATGCTCCCTAAAGACCTGGAACAGCCTCACCCTGACCCCTGGAGAGGTCCAAGGTGATGTCTGAATCATCATCAGAGCCCAGTGATGATTTACCTGCAAGGAGGTGTAAGCATCATCCCTGCTATGCTTTTTCCTGCCTCTGAAGACGCTTCCTTCCTGAAGAAGGCACCTGGGGCATCAACAAGTCATCCTCTGCAGGAGAGGCAAGCTCTGGAGGCATCTGCAAAGGCCCTGTCATAGTCTGCGAAAAGAAAAAACCCAAACAATGTGAGGAACAGGTGAAACCAATGTTTTGTGCACCACATGGGGACGCTATTCAGACCAGAAACGCTGCCAGAGGCCATCAAATTCTAGGGCCAAGCGGGCCAAGCCCTAGGATCACCTGCTAGGCCAGACATAAATGTTTCCAATGAGATAACAAACTCGAGGCAGCCCACCGCATGTCCAGGTACCCCTGCTTGCCCTTTAGAGGGAAGCACCCCTTCAAGAAACCCAAAGTTCTTTTATCACAAACGGGCCAAACTACCCAGCAACAAAATAGTCCAAAAGGAGCAGCTTGTTTTGCCTTGTTATAACAATGGCTAAGTGAGGGATATGAACCCTGTCTCCCAGGTCCTAGTCCTGTACTCTAGCCACTAAGCCACAATGGCTTGTCTCTAAAATGGCAGTCGCCACTATCAGGGAAAACAAACTTGAAGAAAATAAACTTGTTCAGAAACAGCATAGTTAAAGAGCATACAAAGAGTGCTCATTGGAGGCACAGAGAGCCTCTGGCTCCACTCTGTCTGCCTAAGCTATACGTTAGCAACAAGTGAGCCTGCAAACAACAGATACATTCTTATAGAGAGAATGAGTCACATGTCACAGAAACTTAACAATTCACTATACTGCTAACTGTAGCAGGCTTAGGCTTGAATGATATGTGCAGGCCGTGATGGCCTCCCTGCTTCTGCTCTCTGCCTTTTTTGTCTCATTGCAATATTAAAGGAACTCAAAATAGTGCTCCCGCCCAAGGCTAAATTAAAACTCGGCCAACAGCACTGCACGCACCCAAAATAAAGCCAACCTATGGGGATACTATAAACGAAAGTGATTCCAGGTAAGCTGGGAATTCACTGTACTGCTAACTGTAGCAGGCTTAGGCTTGAAAGATATGTGCAGGCCGTGCAGGCCGTGATGGCCTCCCTGCTTCTGCTCTCTGCCTTTTTTGTCTCATTGCAGTATTAAAGGAACTCAATAGTGTGCCCGCCCAAGGCTAGATTAAAACTCGGCCAACAGCACTGCATGCACCCAAAATAAAGCCAACCTATGGGGATACTATAAATGAAAGTGATTCCAGGTAAGCTGGGAGCAGCCCTGGCTAGCCCCACAATTAAACAGGCGAAAATGGGGAAAAACTTTTTGCAAAAGAAAGCCCCTAATGGGGGCTCTCTCCCTATTGGGAAAGGCAAGCCCAGGAGGATTATGCACAGGCAGCGCTCACAGGTACAGGGAGAATCTTCCCAAAGGGCAGGGTAAGGGGTGGGGTGGGAAATCAAACAGAAAAAAAGGGGGAATTAAATTAATTAAGGGACTAGAGAAGATTAAAAAGAAGGGGAAAATAAAGAAATGTAACCAGACAATGAGAAGATCGCTCCACTGTCCTCCAGACGGTCCAAGTGCTCCAGGTGATCCATTGCACGCAGCAAAGAGAAAGCTCCAGGCTGCGTGCAGAGTATTTAAACATTTTACCCTCCCACCAAAATTGCAACATAACTTTTACCCCAGCAACCCAGTGAACCAATCACTGCCCCAGGCCATCTTTAGAGACCCTGCCTGGTAACAGAGGGGTGGCTCAGCAGACCCCACCGCAACACGTGCTCTCCATGAAGGAGAACACGCTTTGCTGCATACTCTAATTACTCCCTATTTTAATTCATCCATGTTTTAACTCATTCTTTTGTTTATATTTTCACTGCTAGATTTATTCTATTCCTGTTTACAGTAATCTTTCAAATATTCAACAAATATTTTCCAATCATCCTTAACAATTCTCCCTTCCTGTTCTCTTAATTTGCCAGTTCAACCATTCAATTCCGCATACTCCATTACTTTAGCCGGCCATTAGTCATTATTGTACCTTCCCGCCATCAACAAGGAGAGTGTAATCCAAAGCAAGGGGTTAAACTCAGGGGTGTCTGCAGGATTTTTTCCAGGGGGAACAACAAAGTAAATGCTGAAACCTGAGAAAGCAGACTAGTTTCTGACAAGACAGAAATAAAAAGAGAAGAATAGTGCCTGTATATTTTGCCTCATGTCTCAGGTTCTATAATGTTTCAAGACTGCATTTTCATCCAGCACTTGATTTATATTACAACTGAGAATTACAAAGTGGACAAATGAATATACTGAACCAATTATTACAAGCTTCAGCATCACCTTAATAAAGAAGGCTGAATTTTTCTCTCTTAATCCCCAGCGCACTATGAACTTTTGCTGAGAACCCATTGGTGCAATGGGAACTTTAAAAATCCCCACCAGAAACCAGCTCTAAGTGGTTAGGGTTGGAGTTCCTTGTCCCTCACATGACTTGCAAAACCAGTATGAATCATGCAAAATAATGTAACATGCAGAATAAATTGTTTACAACAAGAAATTCTTATCACAGAGTACGCAGAACCCTGTATAAAGCATCTTAACTGAATCAAATTCATTTTATGCCTTTCTTGTGTCAGGCTAGTGCATGTAGACTATTAAAAAGCACTAGGGAAAGGAATGAGGTGTTTTGTTTTGTAAGAGCAAATTATGTTTTTCTGTGTTACTGTTCTGTGTTCCATTGCACATTGTTACAATGGAAGCAACCTAGTGTGAGTTTAGATGAGTACTATAAAAATTAACAAATTATCAGAGTGAAACACCCTCAAACAAAGCTCATAATATTGTCAAGGTCAGAGTCATATTTAAACAAATTGTGGAGAGAGAGCCAGAATAAAGATCACAATTTCAGTGTCATCAACAGACCCTTCTTCAGAGCAACAAATATTGTTCTGTGTTTTTACTGTTCCCTCTCTTCTACCATTGCACCTGTTCTTACTATATTACAGAAAACACTGACATTTTGGATCTAGAAGGTTTTAACAATGTATTTGGATGGCATGCATATCTGTGGTATGACAAGGTCAAAGCACATAAAGCATTTAAAAACCATATTGTCAGGAAAGCATTGTTTAATGTCTGGATAAGATATAAGGATTTATTGGAAAATAAAACCCCAAGGTGGCTGTCACCGATGGAAGCGAAAGCTCTGAAAAAGCTCAATATGGAGGTCAAATGGCCGAAATATTGGGAAATTTTGGAACAAGATGGAGATAGATTGAAACTGCAGAGTTTTGAAAAACTAAAAAACAAAGTGCGAGACTGGCTCCATTATTATCAGATAATGCAGGCATACAATTTGGATAAGAAAATCGGCTTCCAGGTGGAAAAATCAAAATTAGAAACAGAATTGTTAGAACCCAAAACTAAGATTTTGTCAAAGATGTATAACTTGCTGTTGAAATGGAATACTCAGGAATACAAAGAAATCTGCTATGATTAAATGGGCACAAGACGTTGGACATAACATAATGATGGCTGACTGGGAACAGTTATGGACCACAGGTATGAAGTTTACGGCATGTAATGCCTTAAGAGAGAATATTATGAAAATGATATACAGGTGGTACATGACCCCAGTCAAGCTTGCAAAAATCTACCATTTGCCCGATAATAAATGTTGGAAATGTAAAGAAACTGAAGGTACATTCTTTCACCTTTGGTGGACGTGCCCAAGGATTAAGGTTTTCTGGGAGATGATTTATAATGAATTTAAAAAGGTATTTAAATATACCTTCTTGAAGAAACCAGAGGCCTTCCTCCTGGGCATAGTCGGCCAATCGGTGTTAAAGAAGGACAGAACTTTCTTTATGTATGCTACAACAGCAGCAAGAATACTTATTGCAAAGCATTGGAAGACACAAGATCTACCCACACTGGAGGAATGGCAGATGAAAATGATGGACTACATGGAATTGGCGGAAATGACTGGCAGAATCCGAGACCAGGGAGAAGAGTCGGTGGAAGAAGATTGGAAGAAATTTAAAGACTACTTACAGAAATATTGTAAAATTAATGAATGTTAGAATGATGTTGGATTGAAGTTAAGTGGTTTCTAGCTGTAATGGTATAAAAGAATATGGAAAAATTGGATTTTCAATACGTAAAAACCTAATGCTATAATATATTAAGATTAAAGATCAGGATTAAAAAGGAGGGAAAGGAATTGCTGGACTAATAAATTGAACTGGAATACAAAAAAGGGAGGTATGAGGAGGTCCGGGAAACAAGTAAATGAAAGAGAAGTGATGAAAAGATGGAATTGTTTTTAATTGTGTTTTTTTTTTGTATTTTGTATTTTTCTTTTTTCTATTTTTCTCTTTCTTATTTATGTATCCTTCTTTTGAAACCTTAATAAATATCATTTTTTTAAAAAAAGGAAGTAAGGAAATGAAATGTAAGGTATGGAAAGATCGATGTGTTTTTTAAGTGTTTTTTTATCTTTTTTCTGTAATTTGTATTTTTTCTTTTTTATTTCTTTTTCTCTTTCTTTTCTTTTTATCTATGTAATCTTTTCTTTGAAACTTTAATAAATCTCATTTAAAAAAAAAAAGAAAACAGAAAGGCAAAATCATTAAATGCGCAGCTCTGAGAAGAACCCTGCAGGATCTGCTCAAAGGCTCATCCAGTCCAGCATCTGTTCTCATAGTCACCAACCAGAAGCCTCTGGTAACCCCTCAAGGCCCCCTGCATCCAGGGAGTCCCCGGCCTGCGTCACGCCCACAGTCAGTCAATCTGGGGGGCATGGTTTGCCGCATTTAAGCAGCCGCGAATCTGGGGCTCCTTCTGTTTGCTTCCTGCTTGCACGGATCACCCGCCCTCCCTCCCTCTAGGTTTTGCTTCTGCACATGACCTTGCTATGGACTTCGGTTGGTCACCTGTTCAAGGGGCCTGGTAGGAATTTTTTCCACTTGGCAGATTGGCACCAGCCACTTGGTTTTTTGCTTACCTCGTAGCAAATCATCACAACTTTGAAAGGTTTGGCGGTTAGGCATTGGAAAACGTGTTGTGTGTTGGAGGGGGAGTTGTGGCAATCACCGTCCCCTCCCCTTGAAGAGTATTCTGTTAAAGGAATCCGGCGACCGTGGTTCCTATCCGAAGCCCAGGTGGTGGGTAGCGCCATGGCTCGACCCCCGGTGACTCTAGGGGAAAGCTTCCAGTTGATTTGCATCAACAAGCTCCCCCTACTGGTTGTTAACTCTTGTGTGACTCCCTGCAGAGCGGGCAGGAGTCAAGTATAGTCGGTTCGGATCCAGTGCCTAAGCCAATACCACTCACATTCTGTAACCAATAAAGGTGTGACCTTTTTTAGCCCATTAACTTAAAATACTGGTGTCCGTGTGTTTTATTTCTTCAGTTTTGCAGGGAGCGGGGCCTTGACTCACAAGCAGGAAGGCTTCTGCAGATGGAACAATTAGAAGAGTGTGACGTTGAATTCTACCCCATGTTTCTCTGTTCCAGTCAGTGAACAGAAAAATCTAGGACTTTGGCCCACCATTCTGCCAGTGAAAGCTATCCAGCCCCAAGGTAGTGCTGAAGCTGGAACTAGCCATAGAATAGGATTTTGTACAATATCAATATTGCCCAGATAATGCATATGTTACATTTAAGAGATGTATTTTCCTTGCATTTTGGAGCTTGAGTGCACAAGGGAAACTCTTAATATAACAAGTTAAACTGAGAGGGTTTTTAATCAATTGAATTTGAGTAAGTTTGGAAAGGGCTTTGCCAATAGCTCTCTCATTGTGAAAACTGGAAAATGGAAATTCTATTTTCAAATGCAATGGAAAAAGAAAGGAAGAAATATCCACATTAGTTTGTTTGTTTGCTTTTGTTTGTTAAAAATCACACACCATTTAGAAGGGTAATAATTCATGTGCTACTTGCCTTATGCCATTTAGGTGCTGATTTATTATGTGAAATAAGATTAGAAATAAAGGTTGCCAGCTTCTTCCCCTGACAAGCCACCTCTCTCTTTAATAAAGTTGCCAAATTTTAATAGCTACAGCTGCTTCTCTGTATTCAACAATTAGTCCATTGGGTGACGTGAGAATGAGATCATATTGGTCCCCATGTCCTACAAACACCCCACCTGATTTCTGCAGATTGTATGGTTCCTGAAGGGGCAGGGCCAGCCACAGCTAGGGGTTTTCAGGTCAGCTGGCAAGCTTAGCCTTTAAAGGTTGCAAAGGAAAAATAAGAAATCCAGCAAATAAAGCACACACAGCCACATTGTTGCCTCCCTACCCCAAAATCTCACCTGTGCCTCCTGTGCCTTTAATGCGGTTGCCTAACTTTATTGGTGGCTTCTGCTTCTTTGCCTGTAACATCTGGTTCATTGGAAGACAATATCAGGGGGTCATGTCATTTCCCTACAATCTCTCTGACTTTCCCTCACGTTATACAGTTGTTGAGATTCAACTAGGAGTTTTCAGGTCATTTGAAAAGCCGAGCCTTTAAGTTGCATTGTAGAAAAATTCAGCAGATAAAGGATTAAAAAGCCTCCTAAATTTCCCTCAACTATATTCCCTGAAGGTGCTTCTACCATAAATGGAAGTACATATCCCTTGTGCTACACCTGTGCCAGCAATCCAGTGCCAACTCTGAAGTGACATGCGATAATGTAGAGTGGTACCTTGGGATGTGAACGGGATTCGTTCCAGAGCCCCATTCACATTCTGAACGCAACGTAAGACGTGATGGCACGTCTGCGTGTGCGCGGGTCGCGTTTTGCTGCTTCCGCGCATGCATGTGACATCATTTTGAGCGTCTGCGCATGCACGAGTGACGAAATCCAGAAGTAACGCACTCCACTACTTCCGGGTTGCTGCAGAGCGCAACTCGAACGCGCTCAACCCGAAGCACATTCAACCCGAGGTCTGACTGTACTTGTGTACAGTACGACCTATGTGGTATCTTTGAAGAGCTTTCCATCACATAAGCAGACACCATTTTGTATGGCTTAGAGCAGGGGTCAGCAACCTTTTTCAGCCGTGGGCCAGTCCACCGTCCCTCAGACCATGTGGTGGGCTGGACTATATTTTTTTTGGGGGGGGGAATGAATGAATTCCTATGCCCCACAAATAACCCAGAGATGCATTTTAAATAAAAGGACACATTCTACTCATGTAGCAACACCAGGCAGGCCCCACAAATAACCCAGAGATGCATTTTAAATAAAAGGACCACATTCTACTCATGTAAAAACACGCTAATTCCTGGACCATCTGTGGGCCAGATTTAGAAGGCGATTGGGCCGCATTCGGCCCCTGGGCCTTAGGTTGCCTACCCCTGGTTTAGAGGACCATAAGTTTTCCCATTTAGCATAGTTTATAACTGTATCACTGACAATATCTATATTAGCCACAGTTTTAAGACCTGAAAGAGGTCCATTTGAGATATCTAACAATCTTTTGAAAGCCAACTCCAATCCCTTTCCTGCGTTAAGTCATTTCTTAGCCCAAATTTGGCACACACAATCCCCACACTGACTTCTACACCGCCAAGTGTTTAATCAGTCCATTTTCTAGCTATAAGTCATCTACTCCTATTCTCATTATAATGATGTCATGTAATTCGGTCAACTCATCCTTAACATAGGGCCACAACTATGCTATAACACATACCCATATGTACAGATATATACATACTTAGATACATGATAGCATAAACTTTCACTTAGTTCGAATTATGTTTGCTTTATCTGAATAACTCAACTTGCCCTTCAAGACTAAAGGTTGCCTACCAAAAGATTAGGGCTGTCAAATCTCCTGGTGCTTATTACGTACTGTTTCTTTTGAAGTTGCCCATAAAACTATTAGAATGTCCCTTTGACATGCCTGGTTCTGCATAGCTGAGCATGTTTGTATTACTGAAAACCCCATATTGCTTTGAAGGCAGCTGCAACTGCACAGGTTAAATTATTTGCTAACTACTTTTATTTATTGAATCTCCTTTGTTAGTACCCCAGAAAGAAACCATTTTCCTCAGTAGTTTTAAACATTTCCTTTCAAGTAATAGACATGTTTAATCTTGTTTATTTCACAACCAATAGAGACATTAAAATATTGTAATCTAAAAGCAACCAATGAAGCAAATGGCCTATAGTTTCAAAAAAAGTATCATATTACTTATTTTTGCATAATTAATCCTTGGAAGTTATTTCAAAGTGAAATCATATCAAATATTCTCTGGAAAAATACTTTTAGAAGACTAATAGATCTTGATTGTCAGCAAATTAGGAACAAAAGGAAAGAAGAAACAATGAATCTCATTAAACATAGAAATTTCGAACGAATGTCCCACAGCTGTATTGAAATGGCTCTTGAATATTGTTGCTCCATTTACAGGCACTGAATGTAGGAGCTGTTTCTTATACAGTGGAACCTCGTGTTACGTACTGTCCTCCTTACGAATGCTTCGGGTTATGAGCTCTGCTAACCCAGAAGTAGATGCTCCCGGTTGTGAACTTTGCCCTGGGATGCGAGTGGAAGTCGCGCTCCGGCGGTGCAGCAGCAGCAGCAGCAGCGGGAGGCACCATTAGCGAAAGCGTGCCTCATGTTAAGAACGGTTTCTGGTCACAAATGAATTAAGATCGTAACCGGAGGTATCACTACATTATATAGTTTGTAGCAGCAGGCAGTTTCTTAATGCTTTTTAAAAAAAAATCTTTTTAAAAAGGTTAGGCTGACTTCAGCTCTGGCCCAGACATAGCATTGTTTCAGCCCATTTGGGGTGTGTGGATGTGGGGCAGAAACATGGCTGCTCCTATTTGGAAAACAAAACAAAACAAAAACGAAATGGAAGCAGAGTTCAGAATGCCACTCCACTCCTCACAAGCTCTCCTCTCTGGAAGAAAAAAACAACAACTATTGAATTTTCACACACCAGTTTGGAAGTCTGAATTCACTGCTTACCATCACCTTTCAGGATTGCATGAAGACTGTGTGAATAATCACACTCCTAAAATGTACTCATTTGTGCTAGCATTGTGGTTATGCTTAAAATAGTTGAAGAAAAATATCTGCCTTGTAAGCTATGCTATGGAACGAACTCTTGCAATATGCTGGCAATGTTTAAATAAGTGCTGGAAACTACTCTAGAACAAAGCAATTTGTCCACCCAATCCAAAAGGGTTCAGGCAGGGTTGGATTTGCATGTTGATGGAGCCTGGCTTTGAGTGAGGTAGAAGAGCTAAATATGTCCCACCTTCTTTTTCATTTCTCAGCAACGGCATGGCCACCCCTGAGTCACAGGGTAGAACTGGCTGGTCACATATTGGCTTCAGTTTTGCAATCTTTCTCACTTTCCCATTACAATTAATGCTGGATGGGCAGGGTAAATAAGAAATGCCAACTGGTCACACAACTGTGGCATACAGGAAAATAAAACATATGAGGGAAAACACAGACAACTTCAAGGTGATGTAGGATTCATGAAACTCATCTCCCCTGCTCTGCAGAGGCAGCCAGTCCTGTTTTGGCACCTGAGGCAAAACAGCTGCTCCACCACTGCCACCTTGCTTACTGGGATTGTGTGACAGCTTCCGGTCAGATCTCATGGAGTTCTTGTGAGGTGGGGCACCAATGGTGCCACTGGAGAAGTGAAAATAACTGGTGCTGGTTTCCAGCGAGATCTTGCTAGAACCCTGTAAGATGTCTCTGGAACCTGGAAGGCTGCTTCTCCTTGCTTCTCTGGTGGTGGTGCTGGTTTGGGGGGGGGGATAAGTAAGGCAGCTGCAGCAGCACCAGGAAAGAGAGGGAAAACAGCTGTGACTTCTGGTGAGATCTCATGAGAGCCGCAGTGGCAGGTGGTCAGATTTGCCACCCCGTTGGCCTGCTGCCAAAGCAGACTGCTACCCGCTGCCTCATTAAAGTCAGCCCTGCTGGTCTGTTGTAACCAAAGGGTGATGTACAGGCCACCTTCATGGCTAACCTGTCTCACTCACACAGAGCTATGAGCCCTCAATAGAGAGATTCAGGAAGAAAAAAAAGTCCTATGCCCTTCAGCCACCATTTTAAGTTGGAGAGCATGGGGTTATAGTTTTGACTCCAGAATCAATTCAGGAAGCAAAGTACAGATCCCATGATTCCCAGCAGAAAATTATGTCCTGAGCTAGTGAGTTCTTTCACCTGCTAGTTACACCCTCCCTTGTTCATTTTGTTTTCCGGGGTTGGTGGGAAACTGGAAGAGACCATATTTCACTCATTTGGGTGTTGCTGTTGTTTTGTTAGTGTTTCCATCAAACAGTAAAAGATGTGATGCAGAGGGAAGGGCTCCATGACCTGAATTGTAAATTGCGTGAGAGAGACTGTTCCATTAGGGCTATAATTGCAGCAAGATTATAATTCTGCATCATTTTACCAAAGTGCATGTGAACAACAATAAAACACTGCACAAAGTGGGTGCGAGTATATATATATATAGAGAGAGAGAGAGAGAGAGAGAGATAGAGAGAGAGAGAGAGAGTCTTTCCATAACATTGTGTTTGTGTTTCCCGGCAAGCTAAAAATGTATTTGTTTGTTCAAGCCTTTTGGGAGGGTTACTGGATCTAACCTTATCTTATCACTTGTCACTGGGATGTACTGTTTCTGTTTTTTGTTTAGTTTTTTGCTTAGTTTTTATGTGGTTGTTTAAAGTGTTTTAATTTTGTAATGTGTTGGATTGTGTGTATGCCAGCCTGGGCTCCTTTAGAAGGAAGGGTGAGGTTAAAATAGAACAAACGAAACAACAATCAAATAATACATTGCTTTAAAAAAGCCATGCACACGGGGACGCTGGTAACATGGGGGGCAGAGAAGCCTGGATAAAGAAGAGAAGCAGTGAAATAGTCTCATTCTTCTCTGGGGCCTCAAATACCTAGTTTCATATTAAAAACCCCAACTGCTTTTAATTGGGATTTTGAAATGCCACTTCTAAAATGTGCACAGAATGAATTTCCACTCTAGTTGTAACTATGTTACATTGCTGGGTTACATTACAGCAAAGTTGCTATTTGTGATTGATGCTCTTTCAGTAGCGTTATTGAAGAATGCTATAGGGACTACAGAGGATTTTTTTTTTAATCCAGTAGCTTGGAAACTCTGTAAGGCAAAAGGCCCATTATCACCTGACTGCTTTGTGTTATAAATGACAGAAAGATTCCAGAAGGCAGAGTACTGAATTAGTAGTGTGTCAGAGCAAACCTACATTGTCACCAGTCATTATATTGATGGTGCTACTATCTTTATCATGACATCAAGATACGATATTTTTAAACAAGATTATTTCTTATTTGGGTATTCAGAAAAAAGAGGCTCCGCTCGAGTGAGAGAGTTATATTGTGCAGCAGTAAGTCTTGAGCTGTAATCCTCCTTTTTATGTGAAAATTGACACTATGCTATATATTTCAGATAACTTCTAGGAAGCTATTTTATTCTGAGTCAGGGTACTGTTCCATTTGGCTCAGTATAGTCTACTGAAAGAGTGGAGAACCTGGGACCTCCAGATGTGGTCTCTGATCATTGGTCATCTGGCTGGGGCTGGTGGGAGTTGGGAGTCTAAGAGCATCTGAATGTTGAAACTGAATGTTGGAAGATTCACAACAGATAAAGTAAAGCATTTCTTCACACAGGAAACAGTGATAGCCACAAACTTGGGTGGCTTTAAAAGAGCAGAGAATTGTTAAATTAGAAACAGGAATAGAATTGTACCGGTAATTGTAATTCTGAGCCAACTACTTTAAAACTATTCAGTTAAAAACAAATTAAAACTAGACAAGACTGCAGAGCGCAGGGACAAGCAGCCTTACTCGTTGCCATCTTCACTTGGAAGTCAGTATCACCTTATTCATAATCTTCCCTCCCCTAGGGGGAAGTCGGTCAAGGTTGGAATCCCCTAGGAACTGGCATCACTTAGGTACAGTTCCTTTGATGAAATAGTCTAGTTGATCTACCTGGATGGCAAGGGTGCATGAAGTCCACTTTTTGCTTACATCCTGTCCATCCCCTGGATGTGGATCTTCTTGGATTCATTTTTAGGGTTAGTAATATGTAGACAGGGCTATATCTTTGCAAAGGTATTCCATCTCTTGTTCTGTTTTTGAGGAATGTAGCTCCTAACAGTCTAGTCTAGATGCAAATTTGTGAATATCTGTTCTATTCAACTTCAAATGAGACCAGAATCAGATTTCTCCCTCATCTCTAGTTCTGCACTAGGAGCATGCATACCTTTTCATAATATACAGGCATATTTTCCTCTTTGCATAATATCTAGAACTGTGAGGAAAGCAAGTGTGAGCATCTTGTCTGGACCTCGAGTAAAGAGAGGTCACACAACAAACTGTTGTGCGTGCAATGGGGTGAGGAAAAGATAGTTTGAGATCTACTAAAAGATCTCTGGGTAACTTGCAGGCAAAAGTTTCTAACTTGTTTAGATTGTTTAATAATAGCAACAACAACAAGAAAAATTCACCTAAATTAAGGCTGCTGAAATGAAGAACACTAACCAGGAGTGGACTTTTGTGTGGAAAGATTTTGAACTTAGATCAGTTCTTGTCCTGAAAACAAATTCTACAACTCAGAATTTGCTCAGAGACATCCTGTTCTTTAATCCTAACATTTGCTCTGGGTGGTAGATCTTGGGGTTCTAGTGGAAAAAAGGAGACCCAAAAGGTCTAGGGGGTGCAAAGTAAGCTTTCCATAATGACATGTTATCACTATAGTAGAACCAAGAAATTTCCCTCAGTGGTGTTGAGTTTCAAGAAAGGCGTAGGTAATATCTGAAAGATGGAACAGGCGGTAGATTTTCAAATCAGTTCCCTAATGGATGCTTGTACTGGCATATTTCTGCTTTTCATATCCAGGCTTTGATGCCTACATCAAAGGAAAGAGGCTTACAGAAGAAACACATCCATGAAATTCCCTTTTACCTGGTTACATTTGAATTGCTGAAGAAACTCACAGCTATTCTACATAATATTCTGAATGAGTGCTTGGTTACATGTTGCACCAGTCTTCTCCAGCCTTTTGATATTTTGGACTGTAACTCCCATCATCTCTGCCCTTTGGCCACATTGTCCAGGAGTGATGGGAGGGCACCAGGTTGGAGAAAACTGTGGTATGAATTCGGAAGCTTCCCAGGGAGATGCTGGGCAGGACAAGAGAATGGATGGAGAAAGGTGGCCAGCAGGCGCACGAGTCTCTCCAGATTTTTTCTTCTCTCTCTCTGTGTGTTTCTGGAGAATATCTCAAAATTCTCAACAGATCAGACCACTCTTCATGTGAGAGCTCTAATCTTTAGTCAGGATCTCAGGGTAGGCTGAGGTAATAGAATTCTGGACTGTACTACCTGAGACTATATGTAGAAGACTGTAATTTCTATCTCCATGGTGGTGGGGGTTTGTTGTTGTTGTTGTTGTTTTTAACCCAACAGGCCTCTCTCGTGTGCAGTTTTGCTATACGAAGGTGCTTCTCCCGTAGGGAAATACTCAAAAATGTGGCAACCATTCTGCTTAATTTATTACGCTGAGGTAACTCACAATCACTCTTGTGTTCCAAATATGCCAAACACAATCTGATTTTCAGAAGTTACCCACATTAACTCACAAGCACAGATAATACAGAATATGAAAAAAGACACTACTTGCTTTTATGTATTTATATATTTACAACTAACCACTGTCCTTTAGTGAGTGACTTGAATGGCTTTGCCTCCTCCCCTCCCCTCCCCCACACCATTTCTGAATTACTTTTTTGCCCTTGCCAACCTTTTTATGATTCTTTCCATGGCAAGTGACATTGGCTTTGACTGTCCTTTAAATACCCTGACTTGAAGTCTGCCTGTTCCCAGAGATTTGCTGCTTTCAACTCTTCCCAATTAACTTAATCCCTCTGCCACACAGATCCTGCAGTCATCCAGGATAAAAATATATTTACTGTCGATGCCACGAGTAATCTGTTAGTGTGTTCCCTTGTAAATAAACTTAGAAGCATTCCATAGATAGGCTGGTTCCAGCTTTGTGTTTGCATTTCATAATTCATTCCATGTTGTTGTTTAAAAAATCTCCCCAATGACTGATTTATTATTTTGTTGATCCTGATAATGCAGTGTTGGCCTTTTCATTGTATTAGTGTCATTTCCAATGTTTCCAACGTTTTCTACTGGATACCCTAACAGTCCTTCCCTCTGGCTTCCATGGTTCAGCATTCCCTGAACTGCATTTTCTCCTATTCTCTTAGACTGTGGATTTCTTAAGTTACACAAGCAAATATAGTGTACAGTGTTTCTCAAGGTGCATTTAATGCTCACTAGGAAAATAAAATGGGAGGCTTCAGACATCGGATACTAAAGTGTAGCTTATATGTCACCAAAAGCTAGAAATGTAGAGTTCAATTTCTACAGTGACTTTCTCTGTGGCTTTGGGCAAGGTCTTTCATTCTGTTTTCCAGTAAATCCCCCTATATTATTGATTGTACACATTCATAAGCTGTCATTAATGACTTTGCAAACAAGAGCTATATAATTCATTGTGATTTTATAAATGACAGGCACAATTCAAAGAGCTACTTTTGGTACACCCATGGGGATTGCTCCACTCAGCTCGATTTTTTATTGTATTTTGGAGCAGCATACCTCTCCATGCTGTAATCTGCACATGAAATTCTCATTCAGTTCAGAAGTGGTTTGTCTTCAAGCCTGGAGAAAGCAGGGGCTTCAGTTGGGGAGAAAAAGTCAAAAGCACTTTATTGTCCACAGAACTGGTTACACATTACTTCAAATCTCGGTCTTTTAATACTCCTTTTAGCAGGTGTGTAAGTGTATTTAGGACTGCAGTCAAAGGTATGCTTACAGTGGATTAAACATCTTTGCATAGAATTGAGCTTCTGAGCTTCACAAACTCGTGGTTCACCCAACCTACCTTTGCTCTGCATTTCTAGGCACAGGTCCAAGCTTTCCAGGTCTGTGTCTGAGTGCTCCCCTTCCCCGGGATTTTCACTCACTACTGCTGAATCAGAGCAAACAGCAATCTGTGGAACACCCAAATTGCCATTTGTTCCGAGTTTGTGCTTCCCTGGGGAAAAGAGTGGGGTGGGGATAGGGGGAAGTGCTTTGACACAAACCGGAAAAGTGTGAGCCTGTGCCTAGAAATTACAGGGCAAAAAGTCAATGAGACCTCGGTTTCATTATTTTGCTCTGGTGAGCTCAGTAAAGCAATAAGGTTTCCCCAAGAAATGTGAGGAGTTACATGACAGAGAAACCAAAGGCATAATTTCCACTAAATGTTTATCTTAAAGTGAAATATCAAGTAAATGTAAGGCTTCCTCCTTGATTGCAATATCTTAGGATTTCAAAGGAAGATGAAGGAATTTTAATAAGCTTAGCAGAATTTCTATGGTAGCTCAGTTTCACTTGAGTGTCTAGTATGGCCTAAAGAGAAATGGCAAGAAAATACTCAAGTAAAAAAATCTGAGAAACTCTGAAGAACTCAAAAAGAGTTTCAGAAAGACTACAACAGACGCTTGTTGTTCTGAGTCAGCCCTATTTTCGCTTCATTATTCTTTTTGTAAAGAAAAACAAAAAACAAAAGGTAAAACCAAAGAATTGAAGAGAAAATTAAAGCAATAATTGCTAGATTAAAACTGAATGAGTTGATGAGACAGAACCATTTATAAACCCATAAATGATTCAAGTGTTAAAAACATAAATTTAAATACAATGATATTCTGTAGTATGATTGCTTGGGTAACCTTGAATCAGGGATGTAAGCAGTGCTATTTTTCTAGAAAAAGAGGTGCTGGAACTCACCACGAAGGCCTCCCTTGTTCTCTTATAATGGCAGTAGCCCCCACCTGAGAGGGGCCAGAACTGAGTTCCAGCAAATTCCAGCTGAAAAAAAGTCCTGGATGTAAGTTTAAAGTGGCACAAGATTTGGGTTCACAAGAATGATAAGAGTAGATCACCTGAGTTCGGGAGAAAACTTCTGTCCCAAACTAGGTATCAGCAGAGCAGGAGAAACCAATGAATTATATTTAGCAGAAGATATATTAGGTGAATTAGCTTCTACAATTAAAAAACACACAATTAGAACCATTTTTCACGACACTCAGTATCTGTCATGATAATGAACATGTGCTTTGAATATGACAGGTTGCATATTTTGGCTTGTCTGCAGGCAGCTTACGCTACCATGTGTCAAAAAGACAAAAAAACCCCTCTAAATTTAAGCTGCAGGGGAAAAAAAACTTGTAATATAATTGACACACAAGCCCTCACATAATGCACATATAAACATGTTTTTATTGCAACACCCTAGGTTCATAGCATGGATTATTGTCCTCACCTCTACCCAATCACCAACCACTCACTGTCTACTACATGTTGTAGACGGTAATACACAACCTGCTGCGTTCATGTACTCTACAATAGCAATTGCCAGTCTTTCACTGATGTAAAAAGCCAGTTATTTGTTGCTGTCAAAGATATACCAAAACTATATAAATATCCTAAAAGATGTTATGAATGGTTCACAGCAGCTGCAGTTTGCGAAATTGCATGCTGTGCTGGCATGATGTCACAGTGTCCACATGCACACATTTGCATGCTCATGCACTGCAGATGAGGGGTCTTCTTCTGCCTCTACTCCAATGAATAACTTCTGTTTGGGGGGGGGGGGAGATGCTGAATGACAGCCCTAGCATCTTATACTAAACCTTTTTAACAGGATAGGACCAAAAGGCAAATATATAAATACATAGAATATGAAGGCAGTCTTAATAGACAAAAATAGACAGAATAAGGAAGAGTGATTTACTAGGCATGGCCCTCAAAAGTCTGTAAATATTTGTCACAGCTTTTCACAGCTAGATAGTACATCCATTTTTGACAGATGGATTATGAATTACGTACTTCAGCAGCAAGTACAGTGGTACCTTGGTTTACAACCATAATCCGTTCCAGAGGTCCGTTTATAAACCAAAACAGGTTGTAACCGAAGGCGCACTTTCGCCAGTGGGGCCTCCAAAATTTTTTTGTTCATAATCCAAAAAAAATAATTATGGGTTTTAATCCAAACCGGGACACGCACTTCCAGGTTTGACATGTTTGTAATCCAAAACGTATTCAAACCAGACTGTTTGCAAACCAAGGTACCACTGTAGTGGTTTGAGTAGGATCGTTCTTTTTACAACTATAGAGGGTCACCTCTTGCCAGCCTGAACCATCCTCTACCACCCTTCCATGCCCAATATGCAAAGGGAACTCCCCCACTTCACCCAACAATCCAAAGGGTTACGACATTCTCTGGCAGGACCATCAGAGCAGCCTTATTGGTGAGCATTGGGCACATGTGGATCAGCATTCCCCTCTAAATACCCCCATTGCTGGGAGGCCTTCGCAATTAGGGTTGCCATATTTCAAGAGGTAAAAATCTGGACACAAAAGCTGTTGAGCTTCTGATAGCATCTCCACTGCCGCCGAGCCCAAGCCACCCAAGCCAGAGCCTCAACCAGAGCTGCCCACAAATATATATATTTTTTAACCCAAAATCCAGGACATTTGCTTTAAAATGTAAAATTCCCCATGAATGGGCATGTAAAGAAGACATGTCCAAGAATTCCTGGATTCATGTCAACCCTATCTCAATGTCTTTCTTTCCCTTCCTTCCTTGATGTTTGAATAGTGACTCTAAGTGAATCTAAAACAATATTTTCAAGCTGAAATTGTTGGGTTGGGTTTAGTGTCAAAAGATTTTTTTAAAAAATTCCCTTTTTCTTTTAAAGAATTTCTATATGGGTGATGTAAATAACAGAAAAATAATAAAAATTAAAAGTTTTACATAAATGCATTTAACAGAAATACAGAAAATATTAGGGACGCGGGTGGCGCTGTGGCTAAACCACCGAGCCTAGGACTTGCTGATCAGAAGGTCAGCGGTTTGAATCCCCACGATGGGATGAGCTCCCGTTGCTCGGTCCCTGCTCCTGCCAACCTAGCAGTTCGAAAGCACGTCAAAGTGCAAGTAGATAAATAGGTACCACTCCAGTGGGAAGGCAAACGGTGTTTCCGTGCGCTGCTCCGATTCGCCAGAAGCGGCTTAGTCATGCTGGCCACATGACCTGGAAGCTGTATGCTGGCTCCCTCGGCCAGTGAAGCGAGATGAGCGCCGGAACCCCAGAGTCGTCTGTGACTGGACTTAACGGTCAGGGGTACCTTTACCTTTACCCTTTTTACAGAAAATATTACATTGTCTATCTATTTAAAATACTATAGAGTTAACTAATGAACCTAGTGATCTAATAACTTCCCCAAACTTTTCATTCCAAAGGGCAATAAAATCACAAATTTCCCCAATAAATCTGTTTCCACATCTTATATTTTCTCTCACACAGTTATGTATGTTTATACAAAACTGATGGATCCCATATTCTATAGAGCCACTAAGAGAAGAGGGGAGGCATAGTTACCCCCAAAACAAAATATTTAGACATTTTAGCTGATGTTTAAAATATTGTAACCATTGCTTTATTCCCTTCCTCCACATACCCTTCTAAATAATTCAAAAGTGTGATTAATGGATTTTTATTTAGCACTATTCTAGTGAGATTTAATCATCATCAGAATAAACTCTATTACCAGTATCAACTACTGTTGTTATTTTTATTATTGCTGACAAAATCTAATGTGGCATTCTTCAAATGTGGGTCCCCAGGTGTTGTTGGTCTAATTTACTGGTTACATGACGTCAGACAAAATAAATGTAAAATCCAAGTAGGAAATCTAATTTTGTCAATGCACACTATTTAAAGACGGCATTTATTTATTTATTTATTTATTTATTTACAGGCAACAGTTGTCAGCTAATAAAAATCCAATCTGTAGCAACAGACAAGTCAAGAATTATGTTAGAGCCTTCTATTACAAAAGGGAATCAATGGAAGACATTGGATTCTGCTTTGGTCTTTGCAACTTTTTAAAAATATTCAAGGGAAACTGTGAGTACAAGGGAATTGGGAAACTCTTTTTCTGAGTTTATATAAACTGGTATAAGTTGAGCAAAGCTGTTCACACTGCAGTGAAAGGGAATGTGCCAAACTGAATTCAAAGATATTGAATAAAGCCCTGTGTGATGTAGTGTTGGATAGATTCCCTAGGAAAATAGACCACAGCTGGATCTTTGCGACCTGGGCTAAGTTGCCACTTCTGCTACGGCGTCATTTTGTGGCCTTGGGCAAGTCATTACTTTTCAAAATCAATTCCCCGTCTTTACAGGAAGATTAATAGTGCCTCTACTCACAAACATACTATGAGAATAGACAAAACAAGAGGTGTAAAATACATTATAAAGTTAAAGTCATATAGGTAAGTCATGAATAGCAGAGCTGAAATGGATAATCAAAATTTTTTAAATTTAGTATAGCTTCAATCTTTGCCATTCACATTTCATATTTGAAATATGAAATGTTTACTTCACAATGATTTTGCTTGGTTACAGGAATAAATGGTCCCTAAATGGGACAGAGACATCTATGTATAGTTTACAACGAGGAAACAACTATCCTGTCCACCCAATCAAGTACTGATTGATGACTAGAGAAAAGGGTTGTCAAGTCAGGAGTATTCCAGACCCTGAGATTTCAGGGCCCAAACCTGAGGGAGTCCCCTGGCAATGTCATGGTGATGTCATGGAATTCACAGGGGCATGACATCATATGACACATTAAACTTTAACTACTGTCACTGTGAGCATGTCATTCAAATAAAAAACATGAAGTCTAACAAATGAGCAAATATGTCACTGGTTGGAAATTTAGATAGAAACCTTAACTACAAGTGGTATTCCTAAGTTTGTTGTGAACTGCACTTTTGAAGAGCCAGTGTTAATGATGCAATTATTCACATGTCACATGAAAGAGGGAATAAGCTTGTTTTCTCCTGCTCTGGAGGGTGGGACTCGAACTAATGGCTTCAAGTTACAAGAAAGGAGATTCTGACTAAATATCAAGAAGAACTTTCTGACAGAAAGTGCTCCCTTGGAAGATGGTGGACTCTCCTTCCTTGGAGGTTTTTCAGCAGAGGTTGGATAGCCATCTTTAGCTGAGATTCCTGCATTGCAGGGGGTTGGACTAGATGACCCTCAGGGTCCCTTCCAATTCTACAGATCTATGATTCTTTGATTCCATAGTTGCCAGTCAGTACTGTATGCATTTATAAATGCCTTCTGACTTCATTGTCTATACCACCACCAATGCTTATACCAATATGCATATTGTTATTCTTTACTAAAAACAAGATAACAGGGGAAAAACTGGGAAAAACAAGAAAAGACAAATGTTCATAGGAACACATAATGTAACATGATCAGCTGTGCAGGTCTACCTGTCTGACACATAAACAAACCTGGTAGAAGAGGAAATGAAGAGCAGAAGGGTTAGCTATTTTTGATAAAAATATGTGTCTTACACAAACAGTCTTTTTACTTGTCAAGCTGGCAACTTTTGAAGTATAATTTACAAAGCCTTCCAGACAGTGTCTGCATGAAGTCCCCACACCTCTCACCTTCACAGTCAAGACAGAAATAACAGAAGTAACAAGCAACTCCCAACTGCCAATTTCCAACTGCCAGTTGTCAACTACCACCTCCTTTCTCCAGTACCACCTATTCTTTGTGAAATACATTCGCAATGAAATTGCATAACAAATACCAACATTTAAGGCAGCACAACTGCTTCCCCCCCCCCACTGGGCTCTGAGCCAAAGGGGGTGGCACACGGCGCCACAGCTGTGATGTAGTTAATTCAGAACAATGGAAGGTGTGAGGCAAGGGTGGGTGGGCGCCAAATGTTGGCCTTGCACAGGGCACCACAGAAGTTTGAAAGGCCAAAGTCCACCCCCTTTCATTTGCTTTAAACAGAAACATACACACAGTTTATTCCTCAAGCTCTGTGTTTTAAGAGATGGGATGTGGTGAGAGTTGAAAATTGCAATGATCCTCATTTCACACCAAAAACAGACCTTTCCAAATTTCTACTTTACATACACACACAATTAATTCCCCAAACTCTGTGTTTAAGAGTGGAGCCAAAAATATCACTCAGCCAGCAGAAGTTCTTTTGTGAATCTATATTACATTATTTTCAATCCAGAATTTCATTTAGGGGAAAAAAGAATCTCTTCCCTTCCATCACTCCATTCTTTTCCATACCAAAAGTGATTTCCTGTGCACATCCCTATAGTTCTCAAGTGGATTATTTCTGGGGGAGCAGTAGGGCAGCTATCCCGGAAGTTGAAGGAGAAAACTCAGGAATGGGGTTGAGAATTTCCAGCATTTTATTTTCTTCTACCTCCAAGGCAGCCCCCGGGGACCTGCCAGCTCCCCCCCCCCAAGTGATCCATCTAGTCCCAGCTTCAAATGAAAATATATAACAACTATCTCATCCAGCCCAGCCCCTCCAGTCCTCTCTCCTACTCTCAGCACTCTATTCTCCCTTGGTAAATTTTTGTCCTTGCCTCCTTGGATTCACTCAAGAGGACCAAAAGGCCTCCAGGAGTTGTTGTGGACAGCAAAGGCAGCAGTGCTCAATTCCTCCTCCTTCTCCTGCTCCTGCTCTTTGCATGGTGCCCTTGCTTCTGCAGCCCTACCCCTTGCGCCAGGTGCACATGTGCACTCATAGCCCTCTTCTTCTACAATATCTATGGAGCATGGGAACTCCCAGCAACTTGCCCAGCCAGCTTTCCCTTGTCAACTGCTGCTGACCATACCCACTCAGGCCCTGGGACACCCACAGAGTTACATTCCAGTACATCCAACCTACCTAAAAATTCCTGTAACAAAATAAAAAACAGGCATCATATCAGTCATAGCCTTAGGTTTCTCTAGAGCAGAGGAAGAAGACAAAGCTGGAGGCAAATTACAGCCAACCTCAAGTGTGGAACACACAACCAAAAGGCATTCCTCTAGTCTCCCTATGGGCCCAACCAAAGCTTCAACTGCTTCACAGTATGGCCATGAAAATCAGCATCAATGTCCTTTCCCATACACACTTCAAGTGCTTCTGGGATGCCTTCATCCAACCACCTAAACTCACATGGCAATTAACCCTAACAAAGCAAGCAATATCAAGCTCACATTCAGGTGGGTTATGTCCAAAACGAACCTTTTAGTAGGAATAACACCCTGCAAACCTCTTTCAGTGGGTCAAATCAAAAGGGAGGGCAGTGAAAATGCCTGCAAGCCTGGCTGTACTTGTTTGGAATGGCAAAACAGACCCTCCAAGTGTCCCTATTTTCCAGGCACAGTCCCAGATTTACAGAATCCATCCAGGTTTCTCATTTGATCCCAGAATGTCCCAAATAGGATGCATGGAGTTTGTGACCCCTGAGCCAAAGAGAAAGGTAACTTGACAACTATACAACAACTATTCAACATCTGAAGGTAGTCCTGTATAGGGAAGTTTTTAAATATTTCATGTTTTTATATATGTTGGAAGCTACCCAGCATGGCCCAGTCAAATGGGCAGGGAATAATAATAATAAGAAGAAGAATAAGAATAAGAATAAGAATAATAATAAGAATAATAGAATAGGCTGTCCCTATTTTCATTGGAGAAATGTTGGAGGGTGTGGCAAAATAGGCTTCAGATGAGTTCAAATGGGGAAAGGAAGATCACATGATTGGCTGCTTCAAAAGAAGACTTCCTCATCCCTCTGAAGACCCTAGAGGCAGGCAGGCAGGCAGGCAGGCAGGCACCCAAAAGCTGCTCGTCCTTGATGGCAAGAGAGGTGCCATTTTCAAGAGAGCAATGGACTGGCAACAGGAAACAGAAGCCAGAAAAGACTTTTAGGTTCTCTTGTATCATGGCTGCATTAGTGTTTTCTCCCTGAAGTTCTGAACCAACTAGCATAATCTCAAGGCATGGACATTATGTAGGCCTGATTCCTACCTCTCACCCAGAGTCATAAGATTCAAGCTAAGTCCTAATTTATCCTAAGAGATTCTGAGGGACCAGGCTTTATTAAAGCCTTCCAAGTATTGCAAGGTAAATTGCCAGTGGCCAGCCTCTAATGCCAGGCCTTGCAAACGTGTCCACCACCTTCTGAAGGTAAGGTCTCTCAGGACAGGTGAGTTTATCAGGAGGGTTTCTTCTCATCCTTAATTAGATATCAATTGAATTTGAATTTCACATGCAGTACCTAGGACTTATTAGAAAGATATTTCATAGCGCTGATATAATTTCCCCAAGAAGCCAATGATCATACTGAGTTATACAATGTGTTTCAGCAGTTCTACAAACTTAGTATATAACCTTGAATGAAAAGACAATTACTCAATGTGCAGAATTGTTGCCCTTTGCTAGATAAGGGTCAGATTTTGAACACCCATTTAATTTATAAGGCAGGCGAAACATTTTTTGAAAAAAGAACCATGAAATAGTTGGGTACTTCTTTTGCAGTTTATATGCAACTTTTAATCTGTGAAAGTGGCAATAACAGATCTATCCAAAGTATGTACTTTACAAATAAATTCTGTTGAGCTCAGTGGAAACTATTCTCAGGTACAAGTGCATTTAAAAAAACCACCTGACCATTTCAGGCTAATCAGGATCCAGCACAGGATATCCACTCATGTGCATGTGAAAGATTATTTTCCTGTTCAGCTGTGCCCCCTTGTTAGTCCATCTAGATATGACAATGAATTTCTTTCTGAGCAGCACAGTCTAGAATTTGTCTCGGTATTCTTTTTATATTTTCAATTTAGTATGTATTGATTTCTCTTTCTACTGTTCTATTTTTAGCTTAGTCTCACAAAGATTATGACCCCTAAGAATATCACCTATTCTATTAGCTCATCCTGAGCAAATGGACAGTCTCTCAACCTCTGGCACACATGGTCAACAGGTGCTTTTTGTTTTCTTTATCGGCATGTATCATGAATTCCATCTAGGGTTGCCATACGTCTGGATTTTCCCGGACATGCCCTCTTTTTGTGTTTGTGGGGGGATTTTGGTGGGGGTGAGACCTTTAAAACTTGTCAAAACGTCCGGAATTTTTTTGTTTTGGCTTCTAAAGAGAACTACATTTCCCTTGAGGCCTCGGGGATTCTGAAGCCGGCAGTTCCGATCTAGCTGCCCGCTGGCTGTCCCGGGCGGGTGCCGTGTCGGATGCCGGAGGGAAGTGGAGAGCGAGGCGGCAGCTGAGAGGAAGCGGGGGGCGCGCGGGAGAGGACGGAGGGTCCCCCGGAGCCGAGCAGCGAAGAGGAGCCGGGCGGGCTGGGCGGGAGCCGGCGCCCGGGAAGAGGCTGGGCGGTGGGGCGCCGCCTCCTCCTCCGGAGCTGGACCAGAGGCCGGGGAGGAGGAGGAGGAGGGAGGCGAGGGCGCGGCGGGGAAGGAGCCTCCTCCGTCAGGAGGCAGGAAGATGCTGGGAGGCACCTCCTTGTTTTGCTTTTCCGGGGGGAAAGAAACCCATCCGTTGGTTTTCTCTTTTCTTTCGCTCCCTTCGGTGTTGTGTCTCCGTCTCCTTTTCTCTGCCGGCTGCAGTGAGCCACCAAGAGGCAGCAAACTCGAGCGCTTCTGCCTCGCATCCCCTCGCCAGACTCCGGTCAAAGAAGCGGATGAAGCTTCAGCCGCCAAACCAAATCTCCAGGGGATCCGTGTTGGGAGGCAGGCTGGGCCTCCCTCCCCTAGGTCAGTTTCACCCAACGCATGGTCAAATCCACCTCTGCCAAAGAGCGCTCTTCTGCTTTAAACGTCCCGTTCCAACCTCAGTTTGCAGAATTTAGGGATCGATCGCCTCTCCCTTCTCTCTCTTCTGCTTCTTCCTCCTTTCCGCCTAGATCTCTCAGCTAGCGTTTATTTATATGGAGATCAGCTCTTCTTCCCTCCCCGCACCTTGGATCGTCATGATGCAAACCCAGGATATGTATTTGTATTATTTAATATTCTTTGTTATTGGAAACACACTTCCTTAGGTGGGGGATCAAGTTTTGTAAGGACAGGTAACAGAAAGCACCCCACCTATCAAGTCTTTGCTGGAGAGAAAATGTGTCTGAAGATCTGCATATGACCTCCTCCACCTGCCCCCCCTTTTTTCTTTTTTTTTCTTCCCAGGAGGGGTTAAAATGACCAGGAGCTGGATTTGTTTTGATCGCTAGCAGTTTATTAATTTTTAAATCCTACCTAAGATAAAATGGACCAGCCGTCTGGATAGATATTAAAAGTGTGTGTGTGTGTGTGTGTGTGAGAGAGAGAGAGAGAGAGAGAGAGAGAGAAATTGGTATTTTACAGCACCTTTTTCAGCAGCTATAAATGAGATCTAGTTTCCATCCCTGCTAAATCACATTAAAAAAATGTTTCCCAGTTCTCATGATTGAGAGATGTCTCATGACAGGCTAGGCTTCCTTTGCTCCAGCAGAATCTGATGCTGATGGGGAAGAGTCCCCCTGGGGTGTGTACTTGATTAATCATTTATTCTGTAAGGTGGGTGGCATCACAGTGCATTAGGTGAAGTTTTACTAGCAAAAGCATAAACTCTGTAGTGGGTGATTCCCCCTAGCAATGGCCTTGGAATGATGTACATGCTGATGAGGAAGCAGAGAAACTGCTATTCAGTGTCTGTGCATACAAACATTCTGACTGATTTTTGCATTTGTTTTCTCTTTAAAAACAAAAGCACCCATCAGTTGCTACATCAAAGTAAAGAATGCTTTGCTGAACATTTCAAATTGTAGGGCTCTGTGGTGGCGGAGCAATGCAAAACTCTTACTTCAGTGGAGTTGCTTGTAAAACTGGAAGAAGGGTTTCTTCTGGGGAGTGGATGACAGAAAGCATGTGCTGTGAGATGTTTCATTAGGCTGGAGGTTTGAGGGGGAAGGAAGACATTCCCTTCTACTTTCTGCATAGGAGAAGAAGAAGAATTTATTATTTATACCCCGCCCATCTGGGTGGGTTTCCCCAGCCACTCTGGGTGGCTTCCAACAAAATATTAAAAACACAATAAAATATCAGAGATTAAAAACTTCCTTAAACAGGGCTGCCTTCAGAAACTACAATAGGGTAGTTTCATCTGCTTGTCCTGTGCATGCAGGGATCCCTCATGGACGGATATGGCTTCAACTAGCTGTTGTTTAGGGTGCTACTTAAGGTTGTAATAATTCCTCCTTTTTGCCTATGCTCCATCAAGTGTTGGCCAAATATATTTCATCTACATTACTGCATGTGGCAGTGCCCCAGCAGTGGCAGCGACGACAGCCATGTGCCTCCCAGGCTCCATTCACCCTCCATGCATGTGCTTGGGGAAAGAGGCAAGAGGCTCTGTCATCATCCTGGCGCCCTGCTGCCAGCTTCCTTCCCCAAGACCAAGAAACACTTGCCCAGCTTTGGGAAGGAAACGGGAGGATTCTTGGACCCTGTCGGAGCCCTCCTGGCTCCATCCCAAAGCCAGGCAAGCGCTTCCTGGCCTTGGGGAAGGAGGCACAAGGCTCTGCCAGGATCCTGGAGCCTTGCTGCCTCCTTTCCTGAGCATGTGCAGAGCACCTACCCCTTTTGCCCACTTGGCTGTCCCTCCAGCCATTTCTAGGCAGGGAGTACCAGCACCTTCTTTTCCAAAAAAAAAAAAAAAAGCACTGTGAGTTGTCATGTATATATTTGTGCTGTTAATTGACATCAACTAGAACTTGTAATCTATGTATGTTGGTGGTGGTGGCTTTGATATAAATAGTTGGCAATTAGTAAATATTAGCGATGGCTAGATCTGGTAGTTTCTAAAGCTGTTCTGGAGAAAGCAATATTTGTTTTGTTTATTAAGCCTTTTTTTATAAAAATGCTTAGCAACACCACCTTCTTCTAGAAATTAAGCTTTACGAGGAGCGGTTGAAGGAGCTGGGTATGTTTAGCTTGCAAAACAGGAGACTGAGAGGCGATATGATAGTTATCTTCAAATACCTTAAGGTCTGTCACATGGAGGATGGAACAAGCTTGTTTTCTCCTGCTCTGAAAAGTAGGACTCAGACCAATGGCTTCAAGTTACAAGAAAGGAGATTCTGACTAAGCTTTTTTTTTTGGGGGGGGGATGGGACTTTCTGACAGTAAGAGCTGTTCAGCAGTGGAACAGTCTTCCTTGGGACTCTCCTTCCTTGGAGATTTTTAAGCAGAGGTTGGATGGCCATCTGTCCTGGATGCTTTAACTGATATTCCTGCATTGCAGGGGGTTGGACTAAATGACTAAATGAGGTAAACGCCGATTCAGCTTCTTTCATTGAGCCGCTGCGTGTTGGTGGCAGATCAATGAATGAAAAGCCGTGTCAGAGTTTACCTAAGCATGGTGGGGACTGACCAATGAGTCTCTGCACCACTGAAAAGCCGCGTCAGAGATGCTTACTGCCCCACATCGCAGTAAACGCCGATGTGGCCTTTCAGCCTCGGATTCTCGGCAGGGCAGGTTTTCAAATGGTCACACAGGCCGGATTCGTGACCCTATCAGGCTGCATCTGGGCCATGGGCCGTAGTTTGGGGACCCCTGTTTTAAAGCATTGAGTGGTGTGGCATATTAATCTCCTGAGATTGATGCACATATTTTACAACACAAGGTACCGTATTGTCTCAAAGACAAGCCACACTTCCCCCCCCCCTAAATTCCGACTGTGTAAAGTTATTTGTGACCTTACAAAAAGCCAGATATTACTGCTGAAACAGTTATACAGTGAACCCCCCCTTAACTCTTTAACTCCTGCTGGAGCCCTGGTGAGCGGGGGTGGCAGGTGGCTGGTGGTGCCGCCGCTTTGCCCTTCCTGCTGTGCACCTCCGCTGTCGTTGGGGAGGGTGCCCCCGTCCGGTGCCAGGAGTGGTGGGCGAGGGGATGGCAAGTGCTGGTGGGGGCTGCCGCAGCACCGCCACTATGCGATCCTGGCACTGTTAATGGAGGGGTCGAGCTGCGTGTCCCCTGCAGAATGTCTTCTTGCCAAACCAGCCCCCACCGTTAGGGAGTGGGGTGGTGCCTGCCCAGCACGGGGGGGGGGGGGAGCTGGCGGCGGGTTGTGGGTGCCTAGGCAAGCCTCCACCTCTGCCCTATGCAAACTTCCCCCCAGCTGCTCCATGTAGGGCTGGCGCTTCGGGGGAGTGTTGGGGCGCCTTTGGCAGCTCCTCCCCATCATTTCCCAGTGCGCTGTGCAGGTCCTCTAGGGCTGCAGTTTTTTTTTCTCAGACCACGTGGTTGCCACCAATTTTAACGAAGTGGCTTTTATTCAGGTATTGTCTCTCTCTCTCTCTCTCTCTCTCTCCCCCCCCCGAATTTTTAAAGTGCGGCTTATATTAGGGGGTGGGCTATATTTGGGCCAATACAGTAATTTGTGTTGCCGGAGTAGTGGATATCTGGTAGAAATTTGCATTACCCTGCTTCTGGAAACAGATTTTAGCTCACACCATAAAGGGACATTATTTTAAAACATCAGTATCAAGGGACAGGAGGCAAGAGGAACAGGGGTAGGCAAAAGTTGTTTTTTATATTTGAAGGCCCTCTGTCAAATATTTCTGAGATAAAATTGCAAAACAGAATGTATTTTAAGAGCATTTGCTATGACTATTTTTAGCTGAGATTCCTGCATTGCAGGGAGTTGGATTCCATGAGTCTATTTTATAATACATCATCATCATCATCATCATCATAGCAGCATTATCAATGACCTTCAAATCGCCAGTCTTTTGTAAAGCAAATGAATCTGTGCTTGTCCATGCTGAAGGCCCAAATACCTATTAAAAATACTTTAAAGGGTGTCATTCTATGGTAATATCACTGTAGATGTGTGTAAGGTAACTAAATAGTCCTATATTTCTGTTCTTGTAATTTAACCTCGGCCTTATCCCAAAGTGGGTATTTTGATGTCACTAAGGCAGCAATCCTATGCACATATACTTGGATAAGCACCACTAAACAGTGAGGCTTACTTCTGAGTAAACACATGTAAGTAAAATATTTCCATCTGTTTCACAATGAAATCTCAAATAGTGCTCCTGTTTGAATATTCTGAAAGGTTTGTCACAGTGCAGCAAGATCTCAAAGAAGATTATCTTTATATACATCTCCTGGTTTGGTTTCATTATCCAGTTATTTTGAATTATCTTTTATGACAGCCAAATAGTTTTCTGCTGCCCAGTACCATTTTGCCTTTCTGGGTGCACTGGTATGCCACTTGTGGTATGTTAGTGAAAGCTTTTTGAAAAATTTCTTTTGGAAAGACCAACAGTGCCATCTATGGTAGAAGCTAAGGAACAACCAGATAATCTCTCAATTCATGCTTTGGTTTTTCATTTAAAGAAACAAAACATAACAAAGGTTTCTCTGTCCTTTTCTTGCAATAACAGCAATAAAAGATTATTTTTTAAAAAATGATTTCCGTGGAGTCTGATGCAAAGGAACTGATCCACACTTCCATAATCATCCTTTGAATTTCCAAATTTTTCAATTCACTTATCGGATAAAAAATGCTTCTAAAAGTTGTGCTTTATGATAAAATATCTTCAGAAATTCATAATGTATTTTTTAGCTATTTAAATACAAATGTTAATGTGTTTTCTCCTGCTCTGGAGGGTAGGACACAATCCAAAGGATTCAAGTTACAAGAAAGGAGATTCTGACTCAACACCAGGAAGAACTTTCTGACAGTAAGAGCTGTTCGACTGTGGACTCCCTTGGGAGGTTGTGGAGTCTGCTTCATTTGAGGCTTTTCATCAAAGGGTGCTTTAGTTGAGCTGCATTGCAGGGGATTGGACTAGATACCCTCAGGATACCTTCCAACTTTACAATTCCATAATTCTATTATTTTTTTCCATTAAAAAAATGGAATTAAGACAGACTTTTGAATAAATACATTAAAAATTTGCATGGGTAAGAAATAGACTGATCCTAAAATGTACAAAATAGGTCAATAGGTCATAAGATTATACGGTAACTATATTTGCAATGTATTTTTTCCGGTGTCTGTCCTTTGATGCTATGGCCTGTTGGCTACGCAAATAAAGTCCTTGAACATGAACAATGTACAAAATGCAATTAGAATGGGAAACAAAAGATGAACAGGTGAAGGCATCAATGATACACTGGGCAATAGATATAGGATGTAATATCGAAATGTCAACATGAGAAAGACTGTGGAATGTAGATTTGAAATTTACAGCTTGTTCTGCGATTAAAGAAAATTATTTGAAAATTATGTATAGATGGTATCTGACTCCTAGTAAACTCGCAAAAATGTATAAGTCAGAATCAGATACCTGCTGGAAACGTAAAGAAAAAGCGTACATTTTGCCATATGTGGTGGAATGGGGGGAAATCATTGATTATTTGAGGACATACTGTATTTTTCGCTCCATAAGACACACCTGACCATAAGACGCACTTAGTTTTTAGAGGAGGAAAGCCCCGGGGTTTTTTTGGGGGGGGGTCATCTCAAAGTTGTGCAGCATCTTTTGCAAAGGGGAAAAATCCTGTTTTTATGGGGTTCAACTAAAAGTTCTGCAGCTTCTTTAGGAAAGGAAAGGGAGCCGTTTCTACAGTTTCCAGACAGATAATCTAATCAACCAGTCACATGTCGCTGGGGAAACAAACAGCCTCCGTCTGCAGAACATTCAACAATGGAGGCCTGGGCAAGGGGCCGAGGCCGGAAAGGGAGCCAGCAATCAACCACACATTCGCTCCATAAGACGCACAGACATTTCCCCTTACTTTTTAGGAGGAAAAAAGTGCGTCTTATGGAGCAAAAAATACGGTAAAACATTAGCAGGATTGATATTAAAATGTGCAGTAAATAATAATTAAGGGGAGGATAAAGGAATGCTTATAAATATATTGGAATTGGATATGCAGTAATACAAAGATGTGAAATAAATAATCGCTGAAGGGAGGGAAGTTGGGGGGAAGGTAAATGAAATTTGTAATGATTTTGTTCTTTTTGGCTAAAATATTTATAAAAGTTGAAAGTGTGAATACACACACACACACACACACACAAACACACACACATATGGATCCACCGTTACGTTTAGTGAGCTGTTTGGTGTCTTCCTATTTTGCAGTCAGAAATGAGTCAGAATTTGAAATACAGACACTCCTGCCAGAAGTTCTATCACACTTTAATGGTGATGAGAAAACTGAACCAGGAAAACGCCTTCGCAGGCAGGGACTATTTTGTTTCTAAATGATTTCCACAAACATCTACAATACGATTAAAACAAGGAAGGGAAAACAAAACCTCCCCCCACACCTCATGCTTCTCTCTTCAGACACAGGCTGGTGGCAGCTGGTGATTGGGGGCAGAATGTAGCATGAAATTATTCCTGCTGAGTGGTAACCAAGGGAGGGGGGTCCCTATCTTTCTCGGGATTTGTCATGAGGGAGCAGCAGAGGCATGGGGGGCTAGAAACAGATGTATGGTTACTGGTTCTCCAGCAGCATTCACAATGGACTGGTGGTGTTAGCAGCCCATAACCATCTTGGGGGCTGCTATCTACTTGACAACCAACTGGAATATTCTGCTCTACCATCAACAACTCTCCTGCTGCTGATGTGGCCACCTCAAGGTAATTCCTCCAGTTCCTTGTCATGGAGGTAGCCTCTTACATGTCTTGTTTGTGGGCTTCCCATAGGCCTCTGGGAACCAAAAATTGGACTAGATGACCCTTTAGTTTGATCTTTCAGGGTTCTTAAGGTTTTATACCCTCACCCTTTCTCACCAGTTGCCACCGCCCTGGGATCGTCAATAAGAGGTCCCTCCCTCATCCCTTTACTTTGCCTCATACAGAATGACTGGCTGCCATTCCCTCTTAAAACTTAGAACAAAAGCACTGAACTTGTGGAGACCACCGTAGCAAGGGCAGAGCTTTTTGCCGAAGTGACGTATAACCAAGGCTATTGAGCTCAGACCTACCATGAAAGTAAAGGCAAAGAGGTAAAGGACCCCTGGACGGTTAAGTCCAGTCAAAGGTGACTATGGGGTTGCGGCTCTCATTTTGCTTTTCAGGTCGAGGGAGCTGATGTTTGTTCACAGACAGCTTTCTGGGTCAAGTGGCCAGCAGGACCAAACCGCTTCTGGCACAATGGGACCTACCATTAGGCAGAAGATTCTACCATTAGGCAGAAGAAATGGGCTGTCTCTGAAGTTGCTAAAGACGGAAGATAATGGGGGTGCAGGAATTCCCCTCCCAAACTTATTTCATTGTTCTGAGCCAGCACCAGTGTTTGCTTATTTCTGGCCTGGCCTGGCTATCTTGCTTAGTCACCTTTCTTCTCCCATGCACTGCAGTTAGCTCTGTTAGTGGTCAGTTCAAATTATGCTTTGCTCCTGTGACTAGTGCTGGGACTGCTGCTGCTGCTTTGCAGGACTTTTTTGAGCAGGCAGCAAGTGGGCAACTGACCAAATAGTGAGCTGGCAGTGGTGAGGTGCTGGAAGACAGGTCCGACTGTGCCATGTGCCCAGACCTATAGCCTACTGTTCTCAAGTGCATCAGAGAGTTCTGATCCAATGTCAGTGTGATGAATGTGCCTCAAAGACTCGGGGGGGGGGGTGTTTCATATTGTCCTTTGCCATGTGTCTTTGGCCAGGCCTGCTCTTAGACAAATATTTAGTCACCATCTGAAATGCATCTCAAATGTTGTCATTAAAATATACCAAAGCCTTTATCTTATCTTTTCCTTTTTTTCTTCTGGTTGACCTTGCTATATTTACCCAATCTAGTATACAGCAGTTCACCTGTCAGGCATACTTGAATAATTCTCCTGAATCTGTCACTGAATGCGATTCATTGCTTGCTTACCTTGCAATGACACAGTAAGCTTTCTGTTGTTAATCTTTGAAACATGACTGGCAGTTGTAAGATGAAAAGAATTATATATAACACATTATTGGATATATGTGTCTTACCATTTAAGTGTGTCAGCTAATTAGGACCCACTTGCAGAGAATTTGCACAATTTGTTTCTCAGTAGCAACTTTGGTGACGGAATGAGTGGTGACTTTACAGCCCAATAAATCTTCTGGAATGGTCCTCCCCTTGTCCCCATGCTTTGAAAGAACAGGAAGGCAGGCAAAAGCAATCAGAAAGCATGTCCCAGTTCATGCTGAGATTTTGTTTCATGTCTGTGCCATTTAAGCCCACCCTCCCTGCAGTAAAGTCAGTTTCTCAGATCAGAGTTTAGCATTCCTGCCACCAAAGTTAAATAAAACAATAGCCCAACATACTGGTTGTTAATGAAATAATCACACAGTACTTCAGTGTGCTGCAATGTGGCCTAATTAACTCAGATTCATTTTGAATGAAACAAAATAAATGGTTGGGTGTCAATAAAAACACAACACCTCTGGAGGAAGTGCAAACAACTTCTAATGGGGTCCTAATGGGAGCTGCATAGAAACAGTAATTAGATGTTGAATTTTGCTAAAGCGATGTTTCATGCATTTAGAGCGCTGCTTAGGCAAATATATATGTATGAGTTTCAAGGAAAGTGAAAAGAATTTCTGTGGGGTTTGTGGTAGGGTTGAAAGAATTTCAGTAAAGTTATAAAAAATGTTGGAAGTGCTGTAGAGTGAGCATTTCTAAGTTGCCACTGAATTTCAGTCAAGGTCAAGTATGAAGCAAGTACCTAGGAAGGAATAAGAATAAGAACAGAGCACAAACAATTTGAGTTGGATCCTAAAGATAAAACAGCTTAAGGAAGTTGACAGAAGGAAAGTTTCAGGTCTCCTTCTGCTGACAAGAACTCCCCCCGTGGCCAACCCACAGCTCCCTCACTGCCTGGATAAGTTTCCTAAGGAGTGCTGTTGACTGTGAAGGGGCAGGATAGAACAGGAAACATTACTTTTGTGAATTTACTAAGTAACTTATTTTAGGATCCATTATCATCCACATTCATAATTCAGCCTCCGGGGGAAATTGCACCTCAACTTCGGCACTTGATCACTGGAGCAGCAATCGGTACTCTTCATCCGGACTTGCTGGGTCAGCAAAATCTTAGGATCAAGTGATAAGGCAGCACTTCAGAATCATTTCATACTTAATATTTCATTGTCCCCTGCTTCTTTCTATTGTCTATGACAATATATTTCTGCTACCGGTATTTCAGTTGACTACATGTTTGCCTGCTTTTTTCAAGGTGACAGTATCAATCTTACAGGACTGTTGTTAGGACTTATAAGATAATTTGTGTGACATGTTTTGTTTTTGTTTTTTTTATAAAATATTTATTGAAATTTAAACATTACAAAAATAAAAAGAAAAACAAGAGAGAAATATACAAAACATCAACAATACCCAGAAAAAAGAAAAGAAAAGAAAAGAAAAACCTTAAAAAAAAAACCAAAAGAGAACAGACAGACATACAAAAGAGCCCCATATTTTCATATCCTTATCTTCCATTAACTTATTTCCTCGACTTCCTCACACCTCCTTTTTTGTATTCTAGTTCAATTAAATGTTCTAGCAAGTCCTTTCCCTCTTTCACAAATTTAGTTCCATAATTTAATTTAACAGAATTTTAAACTTAAATTTACATCTTTACCCGATGTCAACTATTCATACTTAATTCTTTATAATATTTCTACTAAAGTCATATAACTTCTTTCCAGCATCTTTCTAGCATTCATTAATTTTAGAATATTTCTGTAGATAAACTTTAAATTTCTTCCAATCTTCTTCCACCGACTCTTCTCCCTGGTCTCGGATTCTGCCGGTCATTTCCGCCAATTCCATATAATCCATCAGCTTCATCTGCCATTCTTCCAGAGTGGGTAAATCTTGTGTCTTCCAGTGCTTTGCGATGAGTATTCTTGCTGCTGTTGTAGCATACATGAAAAAAACTCTATCCTTCTTTGGCACCAATTGGCCCACCATGCCCAGGAGAAAGGCCTCTGGTTTCTTTAAGAAGGTATATTTAAATACCTTTTTCATTTCATTATAGATCATCTCCCAGAATGCCTTAATCTTTGGGCATGTCCACCAAAGGTGAAAGAGAGTGCCTTCAGTTTCATTGCATTTCCAACATTTATTATCGGGCAAATGATAGATTTTTGCAAGCTTGACTAGTGTTATGTACCACCTGTAAATCATTTTCATTAAATTCTCTTTTAAGGCATTACATGCCGTAAACTTCATACCAGTGG